TGCCATCTACTATTCAGTATGAAAGATACTTTACTATTATTCTCAAATCCCAGTCTGTTTCTGACTCTGTTTCACCCATCTCAACAACCACTTACCCCAGAATCCAACATCCCACACACACAACCACGCAACATAACCAAGAAAAGCAGGAAATGCAAGATAATCCCGCACAAGACGCATCATGTTATGGAGTATGGAGTCAGTATCATGTATGGGGTGGGTGCTTGCTTGCTTGCTTGCTTGCTTGCTTGCTTGCTTGCTTGCTTGCTTGCTGCACACCCCTCCTACGCACTCCCCTTCTTATCCCTTCCCTTCTTGTCTCAGACATGAGATGGATCAGACCAGACAGGACAAGTAGAGCAAGACATGGGCTGTATGTAGTATGTAAGTATGTAGTATGTATGTGTATGTCTGTATGTGAGTTATCGTACATACTACAGATGGATCATATGTACTATCACGGAACACGACATGGAGGATATGTGAGTACTCCAGGATACTAGTACTTGGATATGTATGTGTTTGATGTATGTGGAGGTGGAGGTAGCTATATCTACTATGTAAGCATATTGCTGTTGTACTACCTACTACTACTGAAGCACCAGTGTCTAAATACAAATACTGACCATATTATATAATGCTATTCACTCACAAATATAAATACCGGTATACTATTGTTTACCATGACTGTCTTGTTTATATAGTTATATATATATATATAGATGTACTTATGTAAAGAAGTAATATAAACCACAAACATATATCTCCCATCCCATCTATACCCCAACAAAGCAAGCAAAGTAGGCAAATAACAAGGATCCTCCCTCCCCGGCGCTTGGGTGCAGCAACACTCACCACCACCACCACCACCACCATGCACCTCCACCTCCACCTCCACCACAACCCAGCAGCGCAGCGCAGCACAGCACTCGTCACGAAACGCACTGCAGGTGAAGTGGAGTCTCATTGGTAGCAGCACACTGGCCGACTATATGCAGAGTGGTTAGAGGGTGTGCTGCAAGCTGCACCCGCACAGCCCTGTCGGATGCAGCTAGGCCAGCAGCTAGCTGGGCAGGCGATACGCCGAGCAAGCACACACCCACACCCACACGAGCAGTCACACACAGACGCCCACTGGATATATGGGGATCAGCAAGGTGTGTATGTGTGTGTGTGTCGGTGCTTTTTGCAGAAGAGACCAGAGACAAGCTGGAAGACAGGGGGTGGGGTTGGTTGGCTAGCTGTATCTTGCTCTGCTCGACTCGACTCGGCTCTAGAACACGAGGGCTGCACTACTAGCTGCTATTACTAAACATGGGTAGGTAGGATGGTTCTGCAACAAGTACGTTGGGAGTACTGCTACGCTCATTGGTGCTCCACTATGTTCATGATGTTGATATTGCAGCTTCATATACCGGGAAATAAATAGAAAGCATGAGGTATGATTCGTTCGAACGCTGATAAATGCAAGGCGCCACCGTACGACAGGGACAGACGGTAAGTAGGTAAGTAGCTAACGGCTGAGAGGCTGCCTAGTAAAACAGGCCAAAGAAAAAAAAAAAAGAGGACATGCATGCATTGGATGAGGAACGTGCTCTCCACGCTCAGAGCAACTACAATGCCCAGTCATCGGGCCCGTTCAATTCCGCAACAAATGGCTTGTCGATCTGCTTGATTGCATGATCACCGCAGAGAACACTGGGAGACGTGTTAGTAAACTGTAGAGCGAACTTTGAATGAAGCAGACTTACCAGGCTTCTGCAATCAGCCCGTCCAGTTCCCGCACAATCTCTTCTCGTCGCGCCGCTCCCAATGTCCCCTTGTTTAGCTGCGCTTGTAGGTCGCGGATGTACTTCTTCTTGCCACCGGCACCGTCGAGGACCTCCTTGCCTAGGCAGTCGCTGTGGAAGGCATGCTGGCACGGGAAGACGAAAAATTGCCGGCTGAGCACCGGCAAGGAGCAGAGCCAGCACTTCTCTCCGGGTTCGACAATTGCATATCGCGTGTCCAGCGCCGCAATCTCCGTCCGGATCTGACGCGCCGTGTGCGCCGAGTTATCCATCTCTTGTCGCAACGCATCGATGTGCCGCGAGTAATCCTCGAGCGCACTGCAGATCTCGTCTTTAAAGTCGTCAATGACAACAAAGTCTGGGAAGAACGGGATCAGATCCTCGATGCGGAGCAGTTCGCATCGGCGAAGGAACTCGATCGCGTCCTTGATGCCCGTGCCAGGCTGGCGGATCTTCTTCTCCGCTACAAGAAGCCAAAGCTTCTTCCGGAGCTTGTCGTTCCCCTCCGGTCGGTCCGCCACAATCGCTGCCAGTTCGATATCTTCATGCTGCAGAGCCAGCTCCACCGCCTGGAGATACTGTCCCATAGCGCTGTAAATGTGGACGCACGATTGCACGCGCTGGTGTTGGATACAAAGACGGAGAGCAAAGTCTGCATCGTACGGCGGCGGAGATGACGGCTGTGACTGCAGGTAGGTGAGGAGTCCGGCTTCCGAGGACGAGGGACTTGAGGCGTGGATCGAGATCAGGGTGTTGTGGACCGCCGCGGACGGCTTCGGGTGGTTGACAATGATGAAATTCAAGTACCGCACCGCCTGGTTCTGCCCCAGGGGAACGTTTACGGTCTTGTTGTAGTTCAGCAACGCAGGAATCAGCTTCTCCGGCTCGAGGTTGGTCTGCCGCATCAAGATGTCGACTAGTCCGGCAGCAGCATGGGTCATGAGAACGCTACTATACTTGTAGAACACATCGGGTTCACTCTGTCGTTGCAGAACATTGAGTGCCTCCGACCATTTCTCTCGCTGGATCCAGTAGGACAGCACATAGTTGTGGTCATTGACCGCCGTGGCAAAGAATAGCAATTCCTCCTCTCGCCCATGGCTACTGATGAGATCATATGCAGTCTTCTTGTCCAAGTCGGACCGATATTTGGTGACAAAATCTTGGAACTCAGCCCGGACACTTCCGAGTTCGTCCTTGACTTCTTCCGTGCTCGTGCCCTCCGCCAATTCTGCTTTGGTGGCGATGTTGTCATCAAGCGAGTTCAACTTCGTCATGAAAACTTCGACAAGCCAGCTGGCAACCATTATCCGTTGCATTGACGAGGACTTCTTATACGTAGAAAGCTGGCCAAGAAGGTACTTTCGCAGGGCATCATGCTCGCCCCGGTTGATCAGAGTCAGACAGACCTCTTCGAAGCCTTTGCTGCTCTTGCCCCAAACCTTGGCCGCCTCCAAATACCGACCCTTACTGGCGAGGAAGTCTCCCGAGGCGGTGGAAACAGCATCTTTTTGCGCTGTAGTACGGGCGTACTGCAGAGCTTCGTCAAACATCTCCTTCTGCAGAAATACCTTCCAAACGTCTCTATCTTCGTCCTCGACTGCAATTTCGAAGATTTCCTGGCTGGTAAACAGCCAGTAAGTGTGCTGCATCGCATCCGTTAGGAGGCCCAAAGCACTCTGTCCTGGTTCAAGAACGGCTTCATCGTACACAATTTCATCATTCATACGGTTCACAGCAACAACTCTGCCTTCGACAAGGGCTAAAATGTGCCACTGGGACAACGTCATGGCAGTTATTGGGTCTTGTATGAGCTTCTTGCCTCCGCGCGCAGATTCACTAGCCGGGAACAAAGACCGCGGCAGCATGTTCGAGCTTTCAAAGGGTTGAGTGAGTTTCTGCGGCGCGTATGGAAGTTGCCCGTGGTAGATACCTTGCGAACTGAGCCATGCGAACTCATTCTCCGGCTGACCAGTCGCATTCTGACCTTCTGGAACAATAGGCGAGATAGCCAGTGTCGACGGCGCGGCGCTAGAAGGCTTCTGAATCTCATGGGTTACAGGCGCCTCGCGTTGAAATAGATCAGCGTAGACAAGACTTCCTCCTTCCCTCCCGTACCTCCCAGTACGTCCTGAGAAGCACAGCAGCTTTCCATGGGTCGCTATTAGCACTCGTCTGAACTCGGGCTTCGTAGGTATTATCTCCGCCCAGATCCCTGTGACAGGCGACGCTTCCGGTGTCTTGTAGATGGCCTGCGCATATCTCTCTTCACGGCGGTAGAACTCGGTAGACGGCTCAATGTAGGCCTCCCAGATCTGGCCATCCGTCGTGCCCAAAAGTATCTCTCTTGTCGAAGCCGTAGGCAAAGAGGGGTTCCACGCGACACTTTCTATCGGAACACCTTTCAGTCGCGACAGTGGCTTAGGTTGCCGAGATTGGGTATGGAGGTAGTAGTTCTCGCCAAGGGTGGTGGTGATGATCAAATGGGACGCGGACGGGTCCAGGAACATGCGACGTATAACGCCTATCTCCGATGACTTTTTGGGGAGATCGATATCTAAAATATGCAAGTCAGCATGGCACCGGGAGTCTATCAACCCTCCATGATCTCCGTCATTGGGTGACGAACCATCGATATCCTCCGGGGTATCTAGATCTATTCGGAGAATGCGTCCAGTCGACAAAGCCAGAATCAAAACATTATTAGCGACCTGCGCTGCGACAAAGTCCGCAGCCAGTGGGAACTGCAACTGCACACGTCGGACATCGAACATGGACAGAGCGGCGTCCGGAGGCTCGGCGAGGTTGCTGGGAGCAACATAACCGCTGGACGTCTCCAGCGCCATGATGCGCCAATTGTAAATAATGGCCCTATTTCATTGCTCGACCGCACAAGAAGCCTGAGTGGAGCTGCCCGGACGAGGTATAACAGCCAGGCGAGCTGGAGATGGGTGATGATGAAGATGGGGGTAGCTCGCCCGAAGCGGAGCTACTGATGCCTTGGCGCATATATGCCTGAGGCAGAAACACTCTATGCCAGATACTGCTTGCGTTGCCATTCGATGTATCCTTTCTACTATATATCTACCCCATTGAAAAGGAAACAGAGAACTTTGAATCTTCATGTTAATTTTGTTCGTCATCATAAGCATGCTTGCAAACTATTACTACTCTATAAGCTCGCTATGCAGTCTACTGAACGCCGATGCAAACCCTCAACCGAAAGACTGAGCTGAAGGCACAAAACATGCAACATGCCCGGGTATCAAGCCCTTGTCTTTCAAATTATACAGCCTGTGCTCATAGCAAACGAATGCAAGGTAAGCGGAAACGCATGTGAAATCGAACATTCGGATCGTCATCACCATCACATCATCACATCACGACACACTCCCGGTCGAGCTTCCGTCCAATCTTCTCCCGAGATTTGTCCTTCAGCTTGTCTCTAACTCGCTCGGAGTCCCTAGTCCGTCGGGGGCTTTTGTCCTTGCGCTCACCGCTTGGAGGACTGAATTTCTCCGTCGGTCCCAGTTCTTTTTCCGTTAACTCATCCACCTCGCCTTCAGAGACTCCATCGTTGGTGAACTTCTCTCGACTGCGTCGCCCGGTAAATCGTGAAAAGGTCGTGCTAATTCTGCTCTCGCTTGCCTGGCTCCCTGCACGACTGCCTGGATTGCTCCTTGTATGCCTCGAACTGCGTCGAGAGAATGAGAACGAGGCCCTGCCATCATCATCTCTTGGAGTAAGTCTCGGCGAAGTCGGCGCGTATGACTGCATCGAGGTCGGATCAAAAACTTCAGAGAATGCCACACTCTGCTTTCTGCTGTTGTGATCCATAGGGGCAGGATCTGCACCGTCAGGCCCGGTGATTTCGAAACTAGGCCGACCTGAAGCGTATCCCTCCGCGCGAGCACCACCGATATCTTCCACAGATAGGTTTTGTGGTTTCTGCACCATATTGGCATTCTCTGTATCCCGAAAATCCATTGACAGCTCAGAGGAAGGCGGTTTGTCGAACAGATTGGCTGCCGCAGCATCCTCATTGATAGGCAAGATCTGGTAGAATAAGAGGTACGGCGACTCGTGTTTCAAAGCCTGCTCGATGTCGACTAGCGTTACTCGCTCTTTTGCCAGGTCATCAAACCGCATCCAATATCTTGAGGCGTCAGAAGTGGTTGCCTCCTGGTCTGAACCATGAGAACTGGCTGGAGGCGCGCCAGCACTGGTACCCCTGACAATTGATATGTAGTGCCCGGAATCGACTGAGGTACCTCGATGGCAGACCATTGCCTGCAAAGACAGCTTGAAATTTCCGTAGATAGGGCCTTCTTCCTCCATACTATCATCCTGAATAAAATGGGGCAACCCGATCTCGGTCGGAATATCTATGAATGTGTTGAGCCGTACTGCTTTCCCTGTGGGTGTCATGGAATAGCGCTTGAGACACATGCCAAGGATTGGTCGCTTCGAAGAAAAGTGCGCGGCGACCTGGGCGTCATTTGTCGGGGTGTTGTCCGTATACCATGCTATACTCACGTCAGCACTTCCTTAACGCACATACCAAGTAGAACTTACGTATGAGACTGAAGAACTGCCAGGCGGGCATCATGACCTCCTTCCTGTACGAGCCTCTCCTTTGAGAGCTCATCGTACCGTCCTGAGCATTTTCATCGCCAGGGATAAATCGTTCCTGAACGATGCTGCTCCGTCGGTATGGAGGGGGGGCCGAGTCGACCACTTCCGTCAGCGAGGCCACTGGTGTGACATCGTCTAGCGGAGAATATGACTGGCTTGAAGCTGGTGACAAGGGTGAGCCGACCTCAATGGTCTCAACATGTGTCGTACAGCCTTTGGCTATGGAATCCATTGATTTGACTGAACCCACAGTGTAACGCCGCTCCAGATGCCGCTTGACCTCGACCCTATTGTTGAAGTATGACTCCAAGCAGTCTTCCAGAGTAACGGTCTCGCCATCAGCTGGCTCAGGTATCGCAACTTCTAGCAGTCTCTCATTGACAAATTTATGATCGCCGGTTACATCCTCTTTTCCGGTATGGTATATGTCCATCTTCAGTGTGAGAAGAGGTAATTCCAGCTTCTCCGTGATGAACGTGAACGCTTCAGACGTATCCTGTTGGCGAAGCTTGGCCGCATCTTCCCAGCCGCATTCAGCAAGGGCGTCCTGCAGATGTTTGGTCTTCAACGGAGCAGAGAGTTAGCTTCAATCCAAAAGACGAGTTCCGGGAGATACGCACAAGGTCCGTTGTAATAAGCCTCCCCGACCGCAGCATGTTGACCCAGAGTCGCAACAGCACCGACAATTTCCGGCGGGGCTCATCATTGAAAGACTTGTAGAGAATTGCCTCGAAGCAATCCAATCGGGCGAACATGGCAAAGAGTAGTGCATCTAGGTAGCAAGTGACGCCTTCACGGTTGACCGCTCCAAGAAGCTTCGTGGTTGGCGTGTATCCTCTTATTATCCCCTCGATCGCATCCTCAAGAATCATGAGCATCTCGAATGCCTTGTCTACATCCCCTTTGGCGTGCTCTGACTGCAGGGCATAACTGATGTGTTCGGTCCGTAAGCCAGTGATACCGAGCTGTGCGACACGTTGCTCTAAGACCTTGATCTACTGCCTGTCAGCGCCATCGAATAACGCACGTCCCCATTTGTATTCACCTTCTTCTGATTTTCATTGGTATCCCCGGTAGGAAGTTTATCGGAGGAGAAAAACCCACGAAAATGGGGGCGCGAAAGGAGGTTTGATGCCTAGATGAGGAGGCGCATTAGCATGACCATAGTCACCCAGCGGAATCCCACCATACCTCTTCTTTGGCATTTTTCTTCTCACGTCTGGTGAGAAACCTATGGATGCCACTCATCCTCAACAGCGCATGTGTCCTAGCCAGACGACGGGCGAGACAGACGAATGTGCGAAGAAGTGGGGAGTGCGAGATGCATCGATGAGTGGGGGATCTATATAAATCCTTGCTCAGGCTCCAGAATTCCGATGGAGCACGCGAAGAGATCTCTGGTGGAGTCACAACACATATCAGACGGTGATATCACTCAGGGTTGATTTTTCCCGAATTTATCTTTTTTCTCTCTTCTGACTTTTTTGGTCGCGATGGTCTCCTCGCGATGTCCAATTAGCAAAGCCCGACGTATACTAGGCACTAGGCACCAGGTGCGATCAGTGACATCACATGTAACGGCACAAGATCTTAGTTGTAAAACAATGGATAGAAAGGCAAAGAAGGGAGTCTGCTCGAGGCAACCAGGGTATTGCTGATGTGGATGAAAGAGCCGCCCATCAGAAGACCTTCGCAGCCGATCTCAGCGCATTGACGATAAGCTTGTTGGTGGCGGGGATGACGAAGTTGATCACATGTGGATCCCCGCCTGTGGAGGGCCCCTTTGGCTGCCTGATTTCTTCCCTGCCAGATCCCCCAGGCACCAGTAAGCCCAGGTCCCGGACACCACGTGATGCTGTCCCGAAAGAGTCGATGCTCGCCGGTCCGCGAAACAATTTTTGGGAATTCAGTCTCGACCAGTCTACAGTAAACCCCATCCCCTGTGGACCTCAATGGCTGCCAGTGAACCCTCCAGATACCTGGCAAGGTCATTGCCACGGGCCTTGGTGCCCTCTTCGCGGGCTCCGGCCTTTTGCTGGCGTCGCAATGCCTCCGATCAAGCGTCGACGAGATCTCCGTCCGCCGACATCAACGAGCTGGAGTCGACCACTCTATCCACCCCTCTGTCGCAGGACACGGTGAAGTCCTTCAATCCTCTCGAAAGAGCCAGAGCACGCAAGACGCAACTACCCCGGAGTCGGTACGTTTTCTCCTGGAGTCAAACCCTAGGCTTCACTTCAACATCCTCCATCCGACAATCATCCGTCCTCCCCAACTGACACGAAACAACCAGTTATCAATTCCGCTCCCCCAAATACGACCGTGGTCCTCTTCACCCTCACCGGCCTCCCCCGCCCTCTGATCCCTCCTCTCGACTTTTCGTCCCCGGCCCCTTCTCCCTTCCCCGTGTCGCACAGACCTGGCAATCAACCGTCGCACCGGACCTCCTCACCCTCCTCTACGTCCACAACCCCCCGGGATTTAAGCCCCCGCCGAAGGCTCCTCGTCTCCGTTCATGGGACGACAGCTCCCCGTACCACAAGAACCGATCTCTGCGTGGCCCTCGTGGTGGTGACGTTCTCCGCCTCCTCCGCAAGCCTATCACCTTCAACAACATCCCCAAGATCGAGCGCATCACTCTCCACAGTTACGTCAAGCAGGCTGCCACGAACGACTCGTCATGGCTGCACGTTGCTGGTATGGCCCTGCAAGCCGTGACCAACGTCAAGGTTGAGACTTTCAAGTCCAAGACTAGCGTTGCCCAGTGGCACATTGCCCCCGGTCGTGATACCGTTGCCGCTAAGGCCGAGCTGCGCGGTGAGAACATGCTGCATTTCTTCGGAAAGCTGGTCGATGTTGTCATGCCCAGACTCAAGGATTGGCAGGGTGTGAAGGGTAGCAGTGGTGATAGCAGTGGTAACATCACTTTCGGTCTTGAACCTGAGGAGATGGCTCTGTTCCCGGAGATTGAGGTGAACTATGATATGTAAGTTGCCCCATTGCCAAGTGTACAACGCTTTACGTGCACATACATGTGCACACAGTGCCAAGTATGATCAGAAGATCTAATCGAAATAAAACAGGTACCCCCCCAAAATGATCCCCGGTTGCCACATCACCATCCACACCAGCGCCAACACCGACAAGGACGCCCGTCTTCTGCTCAGCGCCATGGGTGTTCCTTTCTACGGCAAGCTTGTCAACTGAAGAAGAAACATGACAGTTTATGTGTACGGAATTGTCATTGGGCAATCAATAGACGGATTTTGTCTTTCTTCCCTCCGCACCATCACCTCACTCACACCTTTGTTGTTTTGAGCAACCTTTTTCCTTTGAATATGTAACATGAAAGGATAGTACCTATATCTGTGGTGTTATTAGTATTATTATTGTTCTTGTTGTTAGAATCATTTATGTAAAATACGCTCTGTTTTGGTATCATTAAATTTCAAATGCACATTTCCCGATTCCAGCTCGGTAATTTGTAACATAGATAAACATAACAGTTGCAAGATACGGTCAAGAAAAATTTGTTTCGTGGACGTGAACGATCGTCAGATTAATTGGTCTATCAGTTGGATATAGTTAAATACTACAGAGATTTTAGAAATAAAATATCGCCTCCCCTCTCCCAGGGGTAGCAACGCATGACATATTCACCATTGCCCACAATCGCAGCTTCAAAGGAAGCTTATTATATGTAAGATATCACGGCACACCGCAGCTCTGTACAAGAATTGAATTGACTCTCATCATGGCTTGTCAACAAGCCAAAGATAGAAGATCAGTAGGGAGGTTGCGAGGGAGGAGAGGCCAGCCGTTATATGATTGTGCTTTTGGGTGCAAGGTAGAAAGAAGCAAGGCAGATAAAGACAATATATGTGGTATGAGGGATGCGGAAACATGGAAATGACAGAAACGCACGCGAATCCAGGGGGTATTCAACTCTCCACACAAATCAATCGATTAAGCATTCGGGAAGAAATTCGTCGTCAACGTATTAGGTATTGTCCGGATGGGAGGGTCCGGTTTTGATGCGATTTTCATGCAAGAGGATTGGCCAAAAATTTGCACTTGAGAAGTTCGTCGGCGCTCGGTCTCTTTTCGTAATCAACTTGGAAGGTCATGTCCAAGAATGCCACGGCTTCGTCGCTCGCGTGTTCGGGAGCGGGAGGCCTGGCTTTCTCTTTGCCGATAGCGTAGATTGCTTGCAGTTGACTGCAGGAGGGGAAGGGATGCGCGCCGGTGAACATCTCGACAACAAGACATCCCAGACTCCAAATGTCGGCCTTCTTGGTGTGGATTGTCTGTTGAACCACTTCAGGGGCCATCCAGTAAACGCTACCCTGCATGGAGACTCGGTGTGCGTGGCCACCTCCACCACTAGCCCGCGCACCAAGAAGAGTCGAGGCCTCTACCCGTTTAGAGATACCGAAATCGGAGATCTTGATGCCGCCCTTGTTGTCAACAAGGATGTTGGCGCCCTTGATATCACGATGGATGATATCACGGCTGTGGAGATAAGAGAGACCGGCAAGGATTTGCCTCACGAAGTTCTTGATCAGAGGCTCTTGGAACGTGTTGTACTGCTTGAGCATGGTAGCAATGGACCCTCCTGGCACGTACTCCAAGAAAATGTTCAAGTACTGGTCGTCAGCAGCAGTGCCCAAGTACTGCACAATGTTCGGGTGATGGAACCCTTGCAAAAGTTCAATCTCATGCTTGAGGGCGGTAACCATGCTATTCTTCCGCTTGTCAAATTCGGTGCCCTTGGTTGCAGACGGAATCTCAACTTGTTTCACAGCCATAAGCTCTCCAGTAATGGCATGAAGAGCGAGGAAAACACTTCCGAAGGAACCCTCTCCAATTAGGGATCCCTTCATCCAATTCTTGGGCGCAAAGTTGTTTCCAGCCAAGAAGTCATTGAGACCATCATCTTCCTCTTCCCCATCTTCTGCCACGAGGATGCTCAATCGTTCATTAAGTGAACCTCCATCCGTTGCAGCAACACTTGCGTTCTCATCCACAAGGCTCTGGCGCGACGTGGTGGGGTCATCCGAGCCACTATCGAAAGAAACATATGATTTGCGATTAGGCTCGATGGGCGACTCTTCCTGGAGAGGCTGAAGGGAGCTAGAAGCAATCGAATCTCTGTACGTAGCGGAAGGAAGGTTGAACTTGGAAACTGAGAGCGGCCGCTGACCGCGAGCAGGCTGTGGCCCAGCATTAAGCCAGGTATCTGCAATGCTAGGAATCGGGGGCGCATCTCTCAAGCTAGACGCATAACTTGTATTACTGACGACACTCAAACGGCTTGCGGCCCGGCTCAGGCGCTGAGATCTGCGAACGGACATGCGCATGGTCTTTTCGATTTCCTCCCGCTGGTGACTAGGGAAGTAGGACGTGATCTCGTGGATGATCATCTCGCTTGGAGGACGGGCACCGAAGAAGGACCGCAACTTGCCCACCTGGCGCTCCACATTCATGGGCGGTCGCATATCGTGCTCACTAGGTGTCTGGTTGTGTCTGGAAGAGACGGGTGACATGGGCTGTCTGATATTATGCCAGGGCTCCCCAGTCAGCTGCTGGATCTTGAGCTGGTTGCGAACATTTGAACTGCTCAGAGCATTCATATGCGCTAATTGGCTTTCATCTACCGCCAGTTGAGAAGCACGACGAAGCTCATCGGGATCGGGTTCCCCAGCATGGATTTTGCGAAGGATAAGACGACCCCGCTCGGACCTGTGAGTACTCTCACACACCTCCATGAGCTCTTGGTCTGTCAGTCTTCTACAGTTGGCAGGATTTGGCTCCAGGCCATCCAAAACGTAGAAGCAATAATTGCGGTATTGATGTTCCGGGAGCTGTAGTTTCTTCAGCACGCAGAGAACGACCTCATCGGCATCCCTGCAGTGTTTGATGTCCAGCATCTTAGTTTGCCCCCCTGTGTAGATCACTCTGATGACGGGCGAGTTCATCGGTAATTGTCCCATAGTCAAGCCATCCAAACTAGGGTTTTGCCTCAAATGCGACCCAGATCGTTCGCTGGGCGTTCCCGGTTTTCGGCTGGTCATCGAGCTACCGGAGGACGGATGGCTGAAGTAGCTTTGCCCCTGTTCCATACGCCCCATTTCCATCGGGCTATTAGCGACATACTGCTGAGGACGCAGAGGCGATTCGGGCCGTGATGACGGCCTGTTAGCGGAATAGTTGAGAGCATTAGTCTCGGCTGCTCGAGACGAGCGGCGAGTTGTAGAAGTTGCAGAAGTCTGCCGGAGATTGGAGGGGCGTGATGGCTCCGATGAAGTGTTTGTGTAGGATACGGCTTCCAGTGTAGCCAGTTGATTCTGGCCTATGGTTAGTTTCAATTCAATTTACTAGTTGGGTATTCAACTTACCAGATTCCTCGACTTGCCGTTAAGGACTGACTTGTTCCTGAGTTGCTTGATGGCAACAAATATCCGCACACGATCGCCAATCTTCTTGATTCCCATCTCCTGCAGGATTTTCTGATCGCATTCGATGAGGTTATTACCATTAAAGTTATTCGCTGGAGCTGATCAGCATTTGTTGCCAGAGTAATTGACCTGGATAACGGTGGCGCTTAGTACCTTTGAACAATGCCTCGTATTGGCCGCAGTTTATGCTATGAAGCCAGGCAATAACCTGCTTCTCATCCCAAGATCTTGTAACCCTCAGTATTTTGCGACTTTGTCATCGGACATGGATAAAGCCAAAACTTACCGTACAGCATCAAGCCCGTCGTACGCGTCAGAAAAGCTTGACTCAGTGGGACTAGTGAACATCATCCCCTTCTGTGAATCTCCAATCGCGGTGGGCTTCTGCGAGGACCCAGTGTAGTAGGAAGTTGTAGGGGTCTGGGTTGCAGACACACCCAACGGGTTGTAGGTTGCTTTTGCAAGCATGGCTGCGAGATATCGAGAACGCGGACGGGGTTTTCCTTGGGTATATTATATCCCCTGCTGTAGCCCTGCGAATTTGGCGGCAAACTCTGGGATAAATACCGTAAAGGCTGGGCTATCGCCACTTAGTGTGTATAACCTTGACGTCTTCGAAACACCGACTCGGAGGGAAAGCGGGACTCGGCAGAGAGATGTTGGGAAGTTCAATGCATGGTCCAGAACTACACCTCTGAGATTGTCGCGTAACTGTCAGTCCCTCATGCGGCGGCCAACTGAAGACAAAGACCGGGGTTGGGGTATCCGTGGGGGCGCCTGTGGAGGGACAACATGATGACTTACAGTTCAGGCTGAATCGATATCACAGGCGTATCCAAGCGAAAGAGGAGACGGTATGCGGTAGGGCGTCTGTGCTGCTTTCAAAGACCTGATCCTCCTTTGTGCCGCTCTGACCAAGGTCTGGGCTGCACTAGGGGTTGAAGATGTCGATCTGACGTTATCGCTGGATCGAGGTTCAACCCACCGGGTGGTTGGAGGGGAAGGAGACAGGCGCTTGAGGCTGATGCTGAGGCTGGGGAGGTGGTGAAATGCTTTGTGCTGTTCTGGAGGAATGGAGGAATGGGAGGGCGACCGGAGGGGAAATGGAAGGAGGGGGAGGGACTGATCAACTGGAGGATAAGAAAAAAAAGGCCAGTGTTGGTGGTGGTGGTGGTGTGGTAGTGGTAGATTAGTTTTGAAAGGCAAAGTGACAGGACAAGAACAGCCTCCCTTGGTATCTAGCGCGGTCAGTCCGGAGGCTAATGAATGGATTGAATCCTCTTTGCTTACAGACCGAACTGGATCTGACGGAGCCTGTTAGGCCGATCGGTCGGGGACGATGGGCTCCTCCGGCATGCGTCCTTTGGAGTCGCGGGTTCACTCTCAAACACGCCGCCGCGGCTGATTTGTCAAGGGGCCCGATCTGAAACAATGAACTCAAGAGGCCCCTCCGACTATCCCTTCCCGTCCAGAGGTTATTCCCTTCCTCTTCCCCCCCATTCTTTCTGCTATTCTTAGGCGGTTGAGCCGTCCTGGTGGGCATGTTCCATGGTTTGTGCCTGGGTGATGCTTGGTTCTTCCCAAGAACCTGGTCCCGGTAGTGCTCGGGGGTTTGTTTATTCTCTTCCCTTTGGATGATGGACTAGATAGTTTGAGTCACGGCTGGCGCGTTGGGAGGTCCTTCAAATGAGACAGCTTTCGTGTTCATCGGTTGAGAAACTGCTGCGATTTGGTTGGTGTTCACTGATCCTTCCATTGGGCTGCCACCCGGCCTTCCCTTAGTGTCAGGCTTCCCATGTCTCTGACCCGCCTTGTTAACGTTAACTACTAAATATCTTTGATAGTTAGATATAGTATCTGAAATACCAACTATCTCTTCTCACACCACTCACTGTCACTACATATTATGCTGATTACTGTGGCATTGCACCAGTCCTGTATCCCGTGTCTAGGCCACTCAAACTCTAATTAGCTCATCCGAACCTTACTCTCTACAGGCTAGTCAGTGGCGTTGCACCCTAATCTGTCTCTGACAGGAATACCATCAATGCTGCGGGTCTGCTTACTGATGATGGAATAATACGGAGGTGGTCTCCTTAAGCGTCTGACTGGAGAGTAAATCCATAATTTGGACTGACTCTCTTCAGAGGTGGATCGTGCAGTCCGAATGCGTCATCTATCCCTGAGGATTCAGTCCTACCTTATCCGAAGTCTTAGAAAGGACCCATTCAGCCTTGACTAGAAATCTTGGAATCTGGCGAGCTAGCCCGATATTTGCTCAATGGCAGCTTCTCCTCTAATCACACACTTTGTAAAACTATCATGAGGAGGGAGGAGAGCTTACCACTCTACTCTCTGAGAAGAAGCCATAAGAAGGGGCGTCCCAGTAAGCGCGGATACGGTACCAAAACTTATACGAAGAGATTCCAAGGTACTATCTATATTGTGCATTCTTCGGGGCAGAAAAGAGTCAGTAATAGAGGCTACCAGCCTATCTATCGTATGGGTAGTATTCCTTTCATATGGCCATTACGAGGATTACTGGTCTATAGACTCGTTCCACTCGCAAGTCTAGCTTGAGTCAACAGGCGCTTCCAAGCTCGTTCAAAAGGTGTACCCTATATCTGCTAGCATACTCCATCCACGACCCTGAGCTTTTATTTCATGCAGCAAAGCGTGTAAATCGATGTAGATAGATCGTGGCCCCATTTCGGTACCAAGTTCTGGGTTTGGTGGGGTTGGACGGTTCATGCTGAACCATCCGGCCATCTGCGTCCCGTCTATTTCCAATTTCGGCTGCTGCGATTCAGGACCGCTCCGCTCTATTCACAATCGGATACTGGTCGACAGATGGGATGAGTTAAAGATAGCTCAAGGGGGTAGGAGAGATTACCGAGCAGATACCTTGGCGCTCAGGCAGGAACAGCTTCACTTCAGCTATGTACTGATCAGGTAGACTACTATTAGTAGTAGTCCATAGGGGAAACACACGTTCCTACCCGATATGCTTTGGCGTCCGCTCAAGCTGAAACATTGGCTTTCGACAGGAAGAGTCACTAGGGGCAAGAAATATTGTGCCCCTTAAAGCCCCTGGCTAAGAAAATAATAAAGCGTTTTAATGCCGAATACCGCATGTCTATACTACCTCCCTCTTTGTAGTACTAGTATGCAACGTATGTCATTGATTCGGTCCTTGACTGAGAGAGTAGTATGCAGAGCAGAGAAAGTTGGGGGGGGGGGGGGGGGGGGGTATTTGGCAGCTGATGAAAACGTTGTGAAATGAGGAAAGATAAGCACCGTGACTGCAGACGGCCGGTCTAATTGAGTTCGGGCTGGACACGAAGTTGTACATGATATATATCTCCGAGGAGCGGGTGCCTGTCGGGTACAGCAAGTACATTCATGTGACTGTAGAAAGTATTAATGTAGCTAATGCTGACATATTCAATTTGTATACAACTACATTATCTTCCCCCTTTTCATATTTGAATCCAGGGTGCTGCTGTAACCCCAACTGACTCCCCATGGAAATGCGGGCCTCTGTGAGGAGATGTTCGTGATATCGACGCCCAAAGTAAACATCTCCGCACCGGTGGGGATGGCGGAGTCAACTTTCGTCCAAGGGATGCAGCAATCATGCGTAGAGACCTGACCGGCGCACAATGCAGCAATATCGCCCGCACTTCCCTTCTTGACGTTCAATCTTTGGAGACCGACCGGGGATTGTCGCGGGGAAAGTGACCTAAATCGACAGGGGGAGAGAAGGAAAAGAGGAAGGAACGACTGGCCTCCACACGTAGAATAGAATAAATGAGTGGTAGGGCTTCTTTTGGCGGAAGCCAGCGGGAGGGCACCACGTGACTCTAACTCGCAAAACCCCCTCATGTTGACCCCACAGTTTTTCTTCCCCGCTCGCCTGTAATCCCATCTAAGGACATGGTCCAATTCCAAGGCAATTCGCCATGGAGGACGACAGAGGCACCCCGGGAAAAGTGAGGAAGAAAAGCACTCCCGCTCATCGCAAGTCCTTGTCTTGTGAATATTGCAGTCGCTCGTTTGCGCGCCTGGAACACCTCCAGCGCCATCTCCGCACCCGTTGAGTAACCCTGAAGCCTTTCCCGGCTGCCTGTGGCCTTCCCACACACGCGAGACTGACGTGTGCCATCTAGATACCAAGGAGAAGCCTTTCTCATGTGATATTTGCTCCAAATCTTTCGCAAGGAGGTAAGTTACTGCCCGCGTTGCATCGCAGCCGCCCCGCGCTAAGATGGGGGGAAATTTCATAGTGATCTGCTCGTACGACATGAGCGGCTAGTCCATCCAACTGAGACCGCAGCCAACCGGGAGCATCGTGCTCAAAACAGCCACGATGTTCCTCAGACCCAACCTCCTATAATACAGCCCACTCACCATGAGTCCCGCATGCTAGAGCTTGCCGACGCTGTCCCTATTCACACCCAACCCGTGCCGCCGCCTCCTCCCGAGGTGCAGGTGCAGCCTCCCCCGATTGTGGAAACGACTCACTTCAACCCTTCCTGGGGATATGATTTGAACCTCCTTTCTCACGCTGCAAGCCATGTTGCCCTGGAGGGTGAGCAGGAGAGTCTCGAATCGATCCGCAAGTCTTCACAGCACGTGGGCACCTCGCAGCCGCTTCCCCACGTCCCAGAGAGAGCGATAACCGATAATTATGGCGTCGAACCCTCTATTCTGGATCTTGCTGACTTAGGGGACCCCGTTCAAGATTTCACAGTTTTCCTGGAGAGCGTAGGACTGTCGTCCGACTGGGACTCTGGCGTATTCTCCACAGTTGAAGATCCGATTCTGCCGACGACTCTTCCAATGGACTCAAAGCCACCCATCCGTGAAATGGCGAGGCTTGGTCCCGAGCTCATGAGTGACCCGCGGACTGCAGCTGATGAACAGCCGTCGTTTTCTAATTTTGGATCACGACTACCGTCCTTGCAACCTGAACCTCATGATGTAGATGACCGTCTCGGGTTTGGTGATGAAGGACCTCGCCCTGCCTGGGATATATCAAATGCAGACCGTCAAGTCTTTCTGTCGAAACTCGATGAGTTTGCTTATATTCTTCCCAAAAACTTCATTCCGCCTTCGAGACACGCACTGTCTCGATTCTTTGCCGGCTATATTAACGGCTTAAACGAGCACCTTCCTTTCATTCATGTGCCTACACTCTCTGTTGCAAAATGCTCACCTGAGCTTACTCTTGCGTTGGCGGCTGCGGGGTCTCACTATCGATTTGAAAATAATCGTGGGATAGAGCTATTTCACGCAGCCAAGGCCATCCTTCTTCAGCGTCTCCACCGCCGAGACAGTAAGCAAGTGGCTTGTCCGACTTGGAACTTTCTGTCACCGGCATCTGGATTTCACAACTCTCGCGGGTCGTCCGCTGCTTCAAACCATACCAGTAGCCCGTTTCAGCAGCAGCATCCTACTTTATACCCAGCGGATCCTTCTGGATATGCACCCGAAGATTCGGATGCTCACATGGAAGTGATTCGAACTTTTCTTCTGCTTACAGTGTTTGCTTCGTGGGAACGGCACCCAGAGTTGTTACGAGAAATGCTCTCCCTTCAGAGCACGCTGGCGAGACTCGTGAGAGAGCATGGTCTCGTCGAGCCACCTCCTAGTCCCGACCCGAACAACTGGGAGGATTGGATACGACGGGAAGGTAACCGGCGGACCAAATTTATTGTTTACTGCTTCTTCAATCTCCACTCCATCATGTACAACATACCTCCTCTCATTCTTAACGCTGAACTGAAGCTAAACATGCCCTGTTCGCACGACGTCTGGAAGGCTTCAAATCCGGCTCAGTGGCGCCGTGTCCTCCGCACGAGGCATGGCCCAGAAGTCTCCTTTCAGGAGGCTTTCGCCAGGCTTTTCTTCAAGTCCAGTACTTCCAGCGCTTCAGCGCCAATATCCCCTCTTGGGAACTATATCCTCATACACGCTATTATCCAGCAAATATTTTTCGCACGCCAGCTCTGCCTCTCCGCCCCAAGTATGCATGGGACCAGCTTACGTCAAGAAGACCTATCCGCTTTGGACAATTCTCTGAGTGCTTGGAAGGCGCTATGGAAACGCACACCCGAATCCAGCATTGATCCTCAAAACCCGGCAGGTCCGATAGCATTCACATCTACTGCCCTTCTTGGGCTTGCTTATATCCGATTGCACGTTGACTTGGGCCCTTGTCGTCGTCTTATCACGCAAGATCCCATGCAAATCGCAAGAGCTCTGGGTGAATCTCCACCAGTAGCACGAAGCCCTCGTCTGATCATGGCTCTTTTGCATTCGGCCCATGCCCTCTCAATTCCAGTCCGCCTAGGTATTGACTTCGTGGCCCGAACCCATTCGTTCTTCTGGAGCATCCAGCACTCGCTGTGTAGCTTGGAGTGTGCTTTCCTCCTTAGCCGTTGGCTGCTGTCCATACCAGTAACCCAGGCCGAGCAGAGACTGTCAGAGCACGAGCGAAAGCTACTTCTGTGGATCAAGAGTATGATGGATGAAACCGACATGGCTGTTGATCCCCCTGGGGCACCCGACCTGGACTTTATTGCCAATCCTTATAAAGCGAAGCAGCTGAGTGTTGCTATCGTGCGTGTTTGGGCACGAACCTTTAAAGGAAACACAAGCTGGGCGATTGTGGATCTAGTTGGATCGAGTCTCGATACATATGCTGATTTTCTAGAGACGCAGATGTAACTGTCCACCTCGCTCTAAGTTCGGCTGGCGCCTCGTTATTCGAGGCCACGCCACCCTTCCAAGCAATAATCCATTTCTCACAGCGCTGGGGAGCCAGCACTGTCTGTGGTTCTTTTCCGTCTCGGTTGCGTGATTTGATCAAATGGCTGAACTGCCTTGATTGCTAATGACAATTTGGTTTTCTGTTATTCTTAGGTAGTTGCTGGTGTTGTTGTATACCCATGTCTTCACGGATATGACATCTTTATTTCCATAGTTCTTTTCCGTGTACATAAACTGTTTATGTTTTCTTTTCTTGTGGGGGTGGGGAGCGGCTCCTGTGTATCGCCATCATCTCGGTTGGCTAATGATGTCGCCTTCTACTCTGCTGGGAGTCTACAAAAGGCAAGGGACTGACCATCAACTTCCCTACTTCCATTAGCTTTCATGGATTGATCTTTTCGGCCACGAGACCGCTCTCTAATCGAATGAACCGGGTATTAATAAAAGCGTTGCGTGTTGCAAGAAGCGGGTATCAAGAATACATGCAGTCCATCTATAGTAGCCGTAACCCACTACTTTTCACCAAAACAAACCCATTGTCATCCAATTCACACATCTTAAATCCCCCAAAAAGAGAAGAATCAAGACTTCTGCTTCCCCCGACTCCTCACCACACTAGCCGGAACAAACCGCAACGCGGACATAGACCTCTCCAGCTCCGCAATCCCCTCATCACCAGCAGGAGCGGCAGCGGCATCTTGTCGGGTAGTAGCTTGGGGGCCTTTCTGAGCACTCGCACCAGAATCAGCCTGGGATATGGAAGTCTGGCGATACCTTAACCGCCCTTCCTTCGGTGAAGTAGGACCAGGGGCAGCTGATGATAACCGCCGACGATGATCATGCGGCGTTCTTAGTAAAGAGGTCTGTTTGTCGATGCCGTCGTTTACAATGTAGAAATTGTATGTCTGGATACATCCATTAGTCTTAGTCTTAGTAAGTAATGAAGGAATATATGGCAGTATACCTTATGAAACATATGCTTATCAATCAAATGCATTCTGCGTTTCTGGGGCGTAGAGCATACGCGTTCGCAGTCTTCGACGAAGCATGCATACTATACCCATCGTTAGAACCATACACTTCACAAGCTAACATGAAAGATCAAATGTGGGATAGATACATACAGTTTTCTCCCCCCTCTCCCTCCTTGTCGCCACTAACGCATCATGGTTCTCTTCAATATGGAGATTCAGAAACCTCTCCGTCGGGAAATTCTTCCCGCACTGCGAACACCGATTGACGTGCGCCTGGCGGTAATGCACCTCGTAGTCTTCGTAGGAAGTAAACGATATTGTTTCCCGATGGGGCGGTAGGGAGCAATGCATGACTTCTTGATTGGGGGTGGTGGTGGCTGTGGGATCTAGGGAGGGGATTTTGGGACGGTTTGATAGGGAAGAAGAGGGTGAGGAGTGTGGTGATGGTGAGGGTGATGGAGATGGGGATGTGCTGCGTGAGCGTTTGGACATTTTTCTTTGGTCTTTTGTATGGAGTGGTGATGTTGCTGGTTGTGGATGATGGTGAAGTGTTTGGGAGACTGTGATAGGTCAGGGTTGTATTAGTTGGTTGGATGGGCTGCAGCAGTGTGCAGATTGAGGTAGTGTGGTTGGTTTGTCTGGATGGGTTAGTTGGGTTTTCCACTGGTTGTTTGGAAGGTGGGGAGATATCTATTGCTTACAATATATTTAAAGTATGATGTAGATATTTACAGACTGCGATAGTGTTATTGTTATACTAGTATAAGAATGGATGGAATATGGAGGAATGCCCAGCGAATATTTGGTGAGCCACTAGGCTGGATTAGTTCTAGATTGGAGGTGGGATACTTTTTTAGCGGATGTCATAGCTTCCGCGATTAGTGGAGGATGGATGATGGAAAGTCCGGATGGCGGGTTGAGTACCTTTGTGATGGAGATTGCCAGATGACTTGCCAATTATAGATGGCTACAGCAGTAGTTAGACAATAGACGGGAAAAATTCAAAAGAGTAGAGGGTCTCATAAGAAATTAAATTGAAATATGCATTATGCAGACACACTGCTAATAGTAATAGGGATCTTCTCTGCAATGAGTATCTGCAGTGTGGATCCTCAGGTTCCCCTCCAGCTGAAAAGTAACATAATATCGAAGTATATCCCGGAACTACTAAAATACCGCATAGTCAACATCCGTGTATCTATCACAAGTTCATGATTTGCAAATCTGCATCTGGTATTGGCGTCTCGTACTGTAAGGAAGTTACTGAGGAGGACGGTTCGGTGCCTGAGCCGGAGCACCAGCCACAACCCATCCAGCCAATCACACATCTGAGAATCTCTCACTAGCCACAAAAAAGACCGCCGGGCAAAGCATCCCGAGCCATTCAACCATTTTTCGGACGAGCGTCGAAAAGTTCCCGTGATATGGGATTTTCTCTCCAACGAGCGGCGGCCGCGAACCCCTCCGTTGTTCGTCTTCGCGCTTCGGGGTCCATCCTCATTGCTGCATCCACATCCTTCTTCTTCCCTTCACTACCAGTGGCTGTCACTCCGGAGTCCTGACCGCCCTCCACGCCCTCGTTCGCTTTTTTGTATATACTAGTCTTACTGACTGATGGCTCGTTCACTGTTCCTGTCGCCCGCAGACTCCCAGCCAGCCATAGCCATCTGACGGGCGAATGTCACCGTTAGACTGACACGGGTGTGATCTTTCTTGGTCCTGAGCATGGCGTCCGCGTTCCAAACTACGTGGCAGTCAGTATCCCCCTCTCTCCGCTTCCTCGCTGACACTACTTCTCTTACAATTATTCTTCTTGTTCCCCCAAACCGTGTGTGGACCCGTGTCTCTAATGCCAAATCCCGCATCATACAGAACCGCGCTCGAAGTTGAAAAGGAGCTCCTCAAGAGCCTTGCCGAGAAAGAGCCTACGTTTGCTGAAATATCCCATTATCTTTCGGAGTTAGTTGCTCCCCTCCTGCCGTCTTGCGGTGCTTTGGGTTTGCGCGCAGAATCATCTGACCGTCTCTGTCCTCCCTTCCTTGCCGTCGCAGATTCCGCTCTACTTGCCAGAATGCTATCCTTCAAGACTTCGAGACTGCCCGCTCCGTAGATGTTGAACCTCGCCTCTGGGATGCGCATCTTAAGATCAACACCCGATTCCGCAAATTGCTCTCTCGCGTGAGTGTCGCATCAGCACCCTGCTCGTTCGCAGGCCGCCAGTGTCTAATTCGTGATTTACGTTATAGTTCCGGGAGGAAAGCGGAAAGAAGAAAAAGCCGGTAGAGAGGCGGAAGCTCGAGAAACATTACCTCGAGTTTATCAAATCAAGTCAACGATTCTATCGAGCTTACATCCAACAACTGTCCTCCCACTTTGGTGGCATCCCGGAGCTGGAAAAGGTCGCGCGGAAATTCAATTCTGACAGTGAGCATTGTCATCCCCGTTTCTTCCTGGGCTTTCGTTGAGCAAAGCCATGTTTCTTTCTCAGATCTATCCGCGGAGCCTCCGATCCGAACTTCCGAAGCCCTCAGAACGCACATCCTTCAATCATGCCATTCGACCCTCATCCGTCTCGGTGATCTCTCGCGCTACCGCGAGACCGAACTGGTCAGCAAGAACCGCAATTGGGGTCCAGCCATAGGTTACTACGACCTGGCTACATTGATTTACCCAGCCTCCGGTGCCCCTCATAACCAATTGGCGGTCATTGCTCTGGCCGACGGGAACCATCTAAGGGCCACTTACCATCTGTATAGAGCGTTGGCTGCTCAAGAGCCACACCCTTCAGCCAAGGGTAACCTTGAGATTGAATTCAGGAAGGTCATGAATGCGTGGGTCAAACGAGAGTTGATCCGACCCGAAGACGCTGGCATTCCCGGAAGGTCATTGGCCCCTTGGTTTGTATACCTTCACGCACAGTGTTACAGAGGGATTGATTTCCCTGAACATGACGAGCTTGAAAGTGAAGTTCTGAACCAACTTGCCGTGGATCTGAAGGAACGCTCCTTGGAAGGTACTTTACAGAAGTTCTGCCTGATCAACATCGCTGCTGAGGAATTTTCGCGGACTCACACGAGTGGTAAGTTTTTCGACTCTCTCCTTAGTAGAGGCGTGCGTTGAACCAAATTATTAGAGGATTCCACATCCAATGCCCGCTCGTTCTTTCAGCGGATCAACGTGAAGACCTTCTTTACATTGCTCCAGATCCTCCTGGCCGAAGTAGAACGGTTTGCGGTTGAGGATCCAAGCAACAAAGACGCCAAAACCGGACCTGATAAGGTTACTGTTGTCGCACGACGTGTCCTTCCGGCGCTTCGGAATTACAGCTCTTGGCTCCTTACGGCCAGCAGCCTATTGGTGTCCTATCAAGGAGAGAAGGACAGTCCTCTAGCTGTCCAGATAATCGAGTTCTGGAAAATTTACGCCAACACTTTAACCCTTCTTGCGTCGACGTTCGATGTAGTGAATTTGCCTGAGATTGACTATTTGCTGGAAGAGGACGAAGAGACCTTGTGCTTTGCGCCCTTGGCCAAAGAGGCAACTTCCCGGAGGTATCTTAGCTCGAATGGCCAGCAGAAGCCCCGAATGAACGATCCTGGGGTAGAAAGGAATCACCCCAATATGGAGATGCTCTACCGGATCCGCGAATTTGTTATTGATGGCTTGGATCTCGTCGTGAGCAAGGTATGGATACTACGTGCTTGTTGTTATCCTCAATCGCTGTGCTAACCACTGCCTGCTTCAGAAAATACCCATTGCCCTGGTGGACGACGAAGACAAGAAAACATTCATTTACCAGGAAGAAGGGCTCCCTTCGCAATTCTTCGCCAGTCCCTCGGGCCATCACCATACGATCTCATCTGCTAGTATCGAACGGGACGACATTCAAAAGGCAGCACCTGATCCCAGCCACAACATTGACACTAGGAGTGTCTTTGGTGGGTCACAGGCCGCCTCTGCATCAATGTCTGCTAGCATGCATCGGATTGTGGAAGGTGTGGAAAGATTAGTTGAATCTGACACCTACGAGAATGCCCCGGCCGTACCAGAGCAGCTGGCTTTTGCACGGAGCAGCAATCAACAGCGACCATCCAGCCAGTTCTTCGATTCGAGCATGGATTCAATCTTCCAAGAGGATCTTCTTCCCAGGCAGACCCCTGCTGCTCCCCCCGGACTCGTACCCCCTGTGACTGGTTCTGCACCTCTCGTCCGAGTGTCGTCTTCCCACTCTTACACCCCCCGACCAGCCCTTCCCGGTATTCCAAGCATTTGGAACACAGCTCTGTCGCCGGAACTCGGTGACGCGCCTTCGCCGCGGACTCCGCCAGGTCTGGGACAACACTACCCGGCTTCCATGCTGCCTGGAAACATCACCAGCCCCAACCATCATCTACCGACTCAGGATATGATCGCTAATGAGCTCATGCTCCGGCAGAGCATGATAAACCAAGCCTCGAGGCACAGTCCGCTCAATGGACCTAGCACCATACCCTCCTCCTGGATGCCCTCGCCCAGCTCTACGTCGCACCACCGCCTTTCTGGATTCTCATGGGACCGAACCTTAGTAGATACCGCTGCAAACACCCCTGGTTCCTTAGGAGTGTCCAGCCAACCCATGTCCAGCGGCCTAAGTAATGCATCGTGGGCCAATAATGCATTTATCGCCAGCAGCTTCCCGTCCGGAACAGGGTTCCCTAGTTCCGGTTTCACCAACAGTCGTAAATCCGCCACGCAATACGGTGCCATCGGGCAGACCCCTCCTTGCGGCCATGGAGGCTGATCTCGAAGACTGTACCACTCAACCAGGTTCTGTGGGTGGGTCAGTGTGGCTACTCATATTTCAGCACCTCTTTCGCAGTGACATGAGCAGGATTGAGGAAGCATGCGACTACCTAGCTGTTTGTCCAAAGGACTGAGTGACCAACCCTATCCATCTACTTCCGAACTCTTAATCCTGTTGTGGTCGGATCAGGCTGGTAAAGGAAGGTCTGGTGGGAAAGAAGAGGAGAAACGGTCATTGCTATGCAGACCCTCTGTCACTCGTTACCACAGCTCAGGTTCCGACAATGGCGTGACCAGACTACCATAGGATTGGATCATGCTCGTCCATCCATAGCCGTTACCGGCGGGTTATCGAAGAATGGGAAGGCTTGTTGATGAGATTTGACTCTGCCTGGGATACGATGATGACGATGATGATAATGATCTCAAGGTCTTAACGTTTGTGCGCTGATGATGAAGGCGAAGGGGGTGAAGAGAATGATTAAATTGCATGCAGCTAGCTAGCTTTTTATGTATGAGGCCACGGCGTGGATGAACTGTGCACACGCAAGCGTTACAAGAAGAAACCGAATTCATATTCATCTTTATCTATCTTATTCCTTCTCAGTTCTTCATCATGTTATGACTTATTTCTATCTCATGTTCTCCCCTTATCCTTTCCCGGCCTCATACAGAATGCTACATCAATACTACGATATTACTTACGATATTCCTGGATTCTCTACCCTGAAGCAAGCAAATCCTAGAATGAATCCAGTCACGGGAATGGATTTGACTCTGTTTTCGTACGTTATATATATACAACTCAGATATTGAATTCTTCATTAAATCGTTGTTGAGAACGTCATCATCTGCAACTCTGCGATATCTATCCATCGTAAATGTAAAACCCAAAGGGAAAGCGTGATAGCAAGGATCCGCATACATGAACCGTTGATGAAAACAGCATAGTCTAAGACGTTAAGTCAAGGACGTGAGGGGTATAGAAGGTTGAATCTTTAGAGAAGAAGAGGGAAAAAAGAAAATTTTTGTAGATGAGAGAAAAAGGTATCAGCTATGGCTCCACGATTCCAAAGGTGAGTTTGGTGGAGATGCTTAGGAGCGGTTGATGGGGGTGTAGGCCTGCTTGGGGAAGGGGAAACTAGATGTCGGACATTAGGGTTAGTGGCTGCTAGATATGTGTATAATCAAGAAATGGGGTTGGTTCGGGGACTTACGAGGCACCCAGCTCCTGGATGCTGAGGGAAGCGAGCCACTGGCCCATGTCGATGCTGTCCTCGAGGGACTTGCCTTGGACGATACCGGCGCAGAAACCACCGCAGAAGGCGTCACTGTGTGGTGGTTAGATTTTGATTCCCGTGATTTAGGTTGTATAGGAGGTTGGTAACTTACCCGGCACCGTTGGTGTCGTTGATGCTGCTCTTGGGGATCTCGCGGACGGGGATCTCCTTGACCTCGACCTCGCCGTTGGGCTTAACGGTGGCAGCGACGGTGGGGAGGGTGCCCTGGGTCACGATGGCGACACGGGGACGGTTGGTGTTCTTCTTGGGGAGCTGAGCCAGCTTCTTGGCGATCTCGACGACATCGTCGGTGCCCCAGCTGTGGCTCTCGGAGAAAGCACGAGCCTCGGTCTCGTTACAGAAGGTGTAGTCGGTGTAGGGGAGGACACTGTCCAGCTGGTCCTTGAAGAACTGGGCAATGAAGGGAGCAGAGAGGTTGAGCATGAAGACCTGTAATTAAGTCCTGGTCAGTATGCTGTCAATGAAACCATTTGGAGTTGCCCATACCTTGTTCTTAGCAGCAGCTTCCTCACCGAGGGCCTGGATGGCAGGAACACAGACGGTAAGGTGGAAACCACCAACGTAGTAGAACTGGGCCTTCTCAACGAGAGACCAGACGTGAGGCTGCTTCAAGTGCTCGATCTTGTACTCGTTGGCGGCAGCAAGGTGGGTGCACATGCTGCGGTTGTGGCCGGTGATGATGACACCGCACTTGCCGGTGGGCTGGGCATCATCGACACGGTATTCGGTGTGAACACCGGCCTGCTCGCAAGCCTCCTTCAGGATCTCGGCATACTTGTCACGGCCGACACATCCAATGTAGCAGACGGAGTTGGCGGGAAGAGCGTACTAGTTCGACTTCACATTAACATCCGTCCGTGTGTACCTTGGTAGGAAGGGATCGGGGTCATCTAAGTACCTGGGCACCACGGGCAGTATTCTGGGCAGCACCACCGGCGATCAGCTTAACATCGTTCTTGGCGAAGAGCTCGTCATAAAGACCCATGTGCTGGTCCTCAGCAAGGATAGCATCGTTGTCCTTCAGACCATACTTCTGCAGAAGGGCGGCATCACTAGTGACAATGTTAGAATACTTGAAATAGGGTCTAATCATAAAGTAGAGTTTCCGGAAGAAGTGACATACCCAACAGCCTGGATGTCTATAGGAAGCAATTCAGAATGCCGTATGTCAGCTCATTGAACAATGTAAGATCCGGGGATAGTAAGCAGCATAAGAAAGAGGCAGAGAGGGGAAATCTCACGCACCGAGGAGGGGGTTCTCCAGGCACAGAAGAGGGTAACCTTGAGGAGCAGCCATTGTGAAGGGTAGAGTGGGAGAAAATGGGGGAGAAAACAGGTAGAGGGTATAGAAAAAGCAAGGGAGGATATAGAGAGGGAGAAGAAAGGAAGAGAGAGGAGGGAGAGAGCAGCGAGATATACCAAGTCAAGGAGGGGCAGCCATGCAGAATCCAAAAAAGGCGGGAGTAATGGCTGCCCCCCGCTGATTGGCCGCAGGAACCAACGAGTTACTCCGTGCCCGGACTATCCCATCATTCCTCCCTACTTGCTTTAGTCTATACTCTCAATCTTACTATCTACAAGTTTTAAGTCCCTCCGGTGTCAAAACCCGCGGGTCCGAAATCCTTCCGTTCACACAGATACCTACATCCATTCTTATAAAATACCACCCATCATGACCGACCCCGCCCTCCAAATCCCCGAAGTCATCCAAACCGCCTCCATCAACCCGGCGCCGTCCCCGGAACACGACGTCAACCCGCCCACCGCAGCCTCCGAGAAGCAGCCCATCGTGGAAGACGATGTCGCCTCCGAAGCAGGCAGTATCCCCTCCGATGTCGTCGATCCTCACCGCATGATCAAGCCCGTCTCGCGACGACACCATCTGCCCCCATTGCCCGATCTGCGCTTCGAACAGAGCTATCTCGCCAGCTTGCGGGGAGCTGATACCTGGGGCCGAGTAGCTTGGATTACCATCAGAGACCAGGTAGGACACCAGTCTGCCCCTGCAATACACTACTGGCACAAGTCAACTGGAAGCAAAAGAGTCCTCAAAACTGACACGAATTGTCTATATAGGTCCTCCTCCCTCTAATCCAGGGCACCGTCTGGACTCTCGCTCTCTCTGGCTGGCGATTCTGGAACCGCAACGCGTCCCTCAGTGGCCAGACACTCGGAAGCAAGATCCGGAGATGGTGGTACGAGGTGAACAACTGGAAGCTGCCTCCTTTGCGATCGGCCAGGGATCCTCACATGGCGGCGAAGGTGGAAGACGTGAGTGCATCCATCCCATTATCCATTCGCGTCGCCCTATCTTCCTTTTTCCCCCCAACCCTTGAGATATCTTTCTATTTTCATTTCAATTGGTTATTCCTCTAAGCCGAGATATTCGGTCACATATGCCAATGAGACGGACACTGACATTTGCGGAGTTTTTGCAGTTCTACACGGCCCAGTTCTCGAATGCCGGTGCTGACTAGGTTGTCTTTTTTGAGTTGATTTGTATGGTTGTCAAAGGTATTGATGTGACTGTGGGTGTCTAGTAAAGTCTGCATTTGGGGAGTTTAGCGTACGGCGTTTATCCTTTCGAACCAGTGAGCTTTGATTGATTGATTGATATTAAGCTTTCGTATATAGCCTGGGGCTTTCATTTTCTACACGCTATTTCTGGTGTCTAGAGCCGAGGGATACGGAACTTCTATTGTTTCATCCCAATCTTGCAATTTAAGTACTGTACATAGCGCATAGCAGCCCCGGCAAGAGGTCCGTCCATCTGGTATGACAGGTTATGTCTTGGAGTCCTCATCTCTCTAATACCTAATCGATCCACAGCATGGTCATGCTATATAGTAGTATAGCAGTCACGGGGAAAGCACTCCATACCACACACATCGCATTTCTAATAACAGCACAATTTTTTTTGCCGCAAAGTTGAACCCGACAAATTCCACCCACGAACAGAACGCCTCGAAGAAAAATGTGAGCGAGTCTTGTCTCAAGTCTGAGAAGAAAGGTATTCCGATGGATAACTCTATCAAGACCGGGGAACCGGCCACTGAGGGATTCCGACCAATGGTACTGTGTTATAGTATATGTCTCTTGCCTAATTCTTTTTCTTAAGCCGTTTGCGTCTTCGTCTCAGTCGCAGTCGGCTGCGACACATCAACACTAGTAGAAGTGCTAGCCGCAGCATCAGGTAGAGACTTTGCGACCACGTCTGGTTGGGAGCTCTGTGCCGTAGCGGATTGCCCGTTCAGCGCGGGTGGTGGTTGTCCTTGCAGTGCATCTTCGGCACCAGTCGCCGTGACCGGTTTAGCCACATCCTCCTTGCTCTTCGGATCTTGCTGTAAGGGTTCCTCTGCTGGCCCATTGGGGCTACTTGGGGCCTTGTCCTTATTGTACCTGAGTTGTACCACAAGGCTTGGTGGTTCTCCGTTCATCACTGCTTCATCCCCACTCAGCTCCTCTTCGTCGTCCCCCTCGAAATCGTTGTCCTCTTCTTCCTCGCCTTCGCCTCCTTGCCACTCATTTCCGCTGGATTGTCCTGCTTCTGAACCTTCGTCCATTTCATCGTCCTCGTATTCTGTATATCCATTTGCTCGAGTTGTCCGACCCCTTGAGGGTCTACCCTCGTCGCCAGCGTCGCCGTCCTCGCGTTGTCCACTCAACAACGTCTCACCGTAAAGGCCGCCTGCGCGGGACCGTATTTGCCTACCACTAGCTGTGAATCTAGGGCCGGCTGGTTCTGGGGGTGTGGAGATCCCCGAGGTGTTGCGCGTTGAGCGCCGCGTGGAAGGAAGGCCATCAGAGAAGATGTCCTCGTCATCGGAGTAGGTGTATTTCAGTTTCTTTCCGCGTGTACGGCCTTCATATAGAGAGAAGCCAGGCTCCGGCCGAGCGAATGCCGCCTTTCGCGCAATCCGGTAGTCTCGACGCTTGCGTTTCTGCTACTAGTAAGCACCGAGAAAATGTACCACAGCCAATAGCAGCAGCTTACCTCCTCTGAGCCCTCGAAGCGGGGTATCGAGTTCCTTATCCTCTCACTTAGTTTTTTGGAGTGGATACTTTTTTCGCCGTCAAGCCTGTCTGCAACCGCCTTCAACTCAGGGATATTTCCTGCCACACTCCACCAGGTAACATTCTTAAGGGCAGGGTTGCCCTCGCGGTACAGTCTGAAATGTGTATCATCCAATCCTTCGATGAGCCAGTATCTGCGCTTGAGGCCGTCGCGACCCCATGGTTGGACGGAGAGTGGTTGGTTCAGGTCGTCTTCGTGGCGTGCCTGTTTGTAGGACTCTTTGATTTTAGCCTGAATGGCATCGGACGAGGCAAGGGACCAGAGGATCAAGGATCTCAATAACAGCAACTAGACAGTGTCAGCTGATAAGCTCTCGGTAGTTTTGAATCAAGTTATGCGACGTACGCGTTCTTCTGGCGACATGGTTGCGAAAGTGCGACCCCCGTGCAGAGGGTTCTTGCCTTGCCAAGCCTTAGGCCACTGAGAAGCGTGGGTTTGGATCGCCTCTTCCAAGGGACGCTGGTAGTGATTCCGACTGCGCATTGATCGAGCGAGTTAGCTTTGATGTATGGTTACCAGAATTGGTACATAGGTGGTCGAAAAGGAGCTTCCCGACGTATCTTCCAAGAGTGTAGGGTCTGGGGCGTAGGAGGCAGTCATACTCGACATCCTTCTTCCGATTCAATACCAATCCAAGAAATGCACATAATAATCTCTCAATATGATCGCCCGGAGGAGATTCCGCGACGCCTCTTTCAACATCTTGTGGTCCAAAGTGTGGTGTAGATCGCGGGAACGCATCGTGAAAACGCGCACGGAACATTACAATGAACTACACATTGCGACAGGTCAGCAAACATGGTCAGAAAACGTGCAAAACGCGTCCATAGAGCTTGGAAAGAGACTTCATCATCATAGAAACCTCCGGGAACATACTGCAATATCTGGATTATCCGCCAACACATATTCGTGGGGTGGTGAGGGCTCCCGCTTCGGCGGCGGAGATTCGGACTCCTTCTTGAAGTACTTCGCGATGCCGACGGGCTCATCAATGGCCATGGAGCCCGTTTCTTCGTCGGACGGAGGCGCCGACGAAAGCGACGATAGGTCCGAGTCTGAGAGCGACATGTTCGACATGTTTGTGGTGCTGTCCGCAGGTGGTGGTGGTGAGGCAAGACAGAGCGGGCGAATCCGCGGCAGAAGTTCTACTTTACGCTACTGCTACCTACTTGGGTTGGAGCGCGGCTTTTACGCGCCTGGCCTGTCTGGCATCATCGAGAACAGCCCTTATCCAGGGATGATCAACACCCAATCACGATAACACATTTGCTATCGCGAACTGGACTCCATCAAACGCGCGAAAGGTCCGCGGAACAGACTACATTCAGAAGATTTCTTTGATAAGAGCATTTAGTGCAAAGCAGCTTTGTATTATGCAATTCGGAAGTCTTAATAGATCAATACTATCCGAAACTCCGCTCCAACAACGAACGAGCGTATCTAATCGTCAAACAGCCCGGCTTAGCTCCTAGAACATTGGATACTGCCCTAGTATCAACCCTGAGAGCGTCTGAGCGGCGTTCTTTAAGCAGAAATCTAGTTCTGCAAGAAGTTGCCGACATTCGAGTCGCCGGACGTGACAAACACAGTTTGTCGATCCACATTGAGCACCTGGTGGTGTCAAGATACCAAGATGACATTGTGGTAATCACCAAAGATGCTGACTCGCTCCCCAGGCGCGTCAGGTCTCATTTTTCCGGGTACACAGTGTCACATCTGGAATTGCTGATCGGTGCGTGACCCTGAGGCGGCCCGGGGCAATGTAGAGAAAGCCCAACAACGGAACGAGATGCGGCAAACATCAAGGCTCCGTCTGCTGACCCGGATGATCGAATTTGACCACTCCGAACCAGTATGATCTGTTTACATGGAGAAGACACCCAAATGATATAGAGACGCCAGCAAGACAAATAGTGCTATTAAGCCAGGTCAGCCCAGGTCAGATATTGAAAGGCGGTGCCTTGAATTAATAGCCCACTGCAAGGACATCTCAGGTAACAGTAGCAGGAGGAACACTGCTTGTTAAGAGACGGAATCCGACATGGATGAGCTGCGAGTGACCGAGACAGAGGCAGGGTAGATTGAATGGGAAGCGGCAGTTCAATAAAGAACGAATTTGAATAAAGTGTGGAATTCAGAAAGAAGGGATAGTGTGTATCTAGAAGGGAATTTCATCACCAACAACGGTTGCACTTTATCAGTAACCTCACTACTCTGCAGTCATAATAATAACCATTCTTTACTCATGATGATACAAGAAGTTCACCAAGTGCAAGATATGTTCGTTAATTGCGAAGTCCTACGTTAGTTATGCCGTCTTAGTAAGAAGGCGACCCGCGCCACGCAGCCGCGCCCACAAAACGGCACTAGTCCTAGCGCGGTTAGATTAGCGACTTCCACCCTAAAGCCCACACAGCCCTTCGCCGACGAATTCTCAACACCAACCCGACAAGCCCAATCTTAGCATTTTGAGGTACGAGAACTCGAACTCTCCCACCACAAGGTCGCCAGGCGGAACTTTCTCAATACTAACGTCCAGGTTCCTATATAGACAGTCGCCATGGGTCGCGTGATCCGCAACCAGAGGAAGGGTCGTGGATCCATTTTCAGTGAGTGCGACCGCAGAGATCCTGAAGCGAAATTCGCAGCATCTCCAGATCAATTTTTACTGATACAATTTTTCGCTCGACAGCGGCAAACACCCGTCTCAACAAGGCTCCTGCCCAGTTCCGCACCCTCGACTACGCCGAGCGTCATGGATACACTCGTGGTGTCGTGAAGGAGATCATCCACGACCCCGGCCGTGGTGCTCCCCTCGCCAAGGTCCAGTTCCGTCACCCCTACAAGTTCAAGACCATCACCGAGACCTTCATCGCCAACGAGGGCATGTACACCGGTCAATTCGTCTACGCCGGAAAGAACGCCGCCCTGACTGTCGGAAACGTCCTTCCCCTCGCCTCCGTCCCTGAGGGTACCGTTGTGACCAACGTCGAGGAGAAGGCTGGTGACCGTGGTGCTCTTGGTCGTACCTCCGGTAACTACGTTACCGTCATCGGCCACAACCCCGAGGAGGGCAAGACCCGTGTCAAGCTTCCCTCCGGTGCCAAGAAGGTCGTCAAGAACACCGCCCGTGGTATGATCGGTATCGTCGCTGGTGGTGGTCGTACCGACAAGCCTTTGCTGAGTATGTCTCCGGAAATCTGGCTCCGTTGAATCACTCTTCGGAGAGAATGCGGTTAAAGAAGAGGACTTTGATGGCTAACTCATTCCCTACAGAGGCTTCTCGCGCCAAGCACAAGTTCGCTGTCAAGCGCAACTCTTGGCCCAAGACCCGTGGTGTTGCCATGAACCCCGTGGATCACGTAAGGCTCCCTTCAATGATTTTGTCGATTTATCTACAGATTCTGACATGTTTTCTCTACAGCCTCACGGTGGTGGTAACCACCAGCACATTGGTAAGGCCTCGACCATCTCCCGCTACGCTGCCCAGGGTCAAAAAGCCGGTCTTATCGCTGCCCGGAGAACTGGTCTGCTCCGTGGTACCCAGAAGACCAAGGAGTAAGCGTGATATTGTGTGGAGTTTTCTTTGTGACGGGTTGAAAATGCTCTTTTGCTATGAGGCATATGTACTTAGGCGACTGCGGATAATCTCCCACGCGTCCTTAGCGAATCTAGGTCGTGGCCACCAAATATTTTCATGATGACCAAAGCAAAAGAAATGGGTTCAAAAAATTCAAACTCGGGTGCATGTTTTTTGAGATATCCTATTTTAAACGGTAGAACTAGGAAGATCTTTCCTGCAAGTCATCAGGTCCGTCAAAAGAAACCGTATTGCGGGATTCGTACAAGAATTGGTCTCTAGCTAGCCATGCGAGAGATTCAGAAGTAGACTTCGAATCTGCAATTGCTGCTACTTTGCTCAGCCATTTTGCTTGAGTCTCCTAAGATCAAGTATATGCTACTTTTTCTCTTCATAGGTGTAAGCGAGCCATCGGATACACGCCGTGAGTTATCGAGGATATTAGACACATTTCCACATCGGGTTGAATGCAGTTCAATGCTACTCGAATTATTACTACCTAGCCACCAATCTTCTTACCCCAGATATTGTGGACCGGGCAATTGCAGAGACCTTGAAGTTCCTGCTACTTAAAGTAATTACGAAAGTAGTTGAGCACAGACGGAGTTTATCCTATTACTGCAGTGCCTGTGCTCAGGTCGGATATATATCTGCTTCTCACCAGATTAGGGTCTAACACATTCATTATTGCCGTCATGCAACAAATGACTTCGGATGTAATTAGTACAATGCACATGAGCCCTTGAGGCCTCTTTTTGCCCTCTTCATGATATAACTATTGAAAGTATAGGATGAAATGTCAATGATGCATGACACTGCAGCAACCGAGATACGAAACCTTGCTCCCAAAGTGACCAATCACAGCCGAATACCATCTAACCCCCCAACTCACCATGAAGAAATAAATGGAGGCGATTTCAAGAACAATTAGCACCATAGACTTATATGTACAAACAAAATATCATACTCACTCAAGACCAATACCAATCTTTTACCCCCTTGATACCTACTCCTACATCCAAAATGGTACCACCCCCGAAACTCCCTCTCCCCAAACCATCCCTATCCCCCTCCTCCACATCCCCATCCACCCGCTGGCTCGCCATCCAAACCCGCGACCCCAAATTTACCAACGCCTTCGTGTACGCCGTCCTCACAACAAAAATCTACTGCCGCCCAACCTGTCCCGCGCGTCTCGCCCGACGAGCCAACGTCCGGTTCTACGATACAGCTTCGCAGGCTGAGCTTGCAGGGTTTCGCCCCTGTAAGCGCTGCAAACCCGAGATTGTCATCAACAATAGCAACAACTTGTTGGGGGCGGGTAGCAATACCACAGCTACTGGTAGTGGTACTTTTAGTACTACTTTCCATCCGCAAATCCCCTCAGTGCAGAGAGCTTGTCAGACTATCAGGGCTTCTGTGCAGGCGGGTTCAAAACCGACGTTGCGGATGCTGGCGGCGGAGGCGGGGCTGACGCCGAGTCATTTTCATAGGGTGTTTAAAAGGGTGATGGGCGTTACGGTGGGGAGGTATGTGGTTGATGTTATAAGGAAGAGTGGTGATGGGGAGGTGTTGGAGGGATCGTGTAGGGATTGGGTTGGGGGTGAGGGTGAGGGTGAGGATGCTGGAAATTGGCCCGTGCTATGGAATGACTTCGATGTTTTACTAGCCGCTGAGGAGGAGGATGGGTTCGTTGTTCCTACTACTGTTACAATGCAGGATGTACAACCTGTAGTGCCGGTGCAGGATGAGGAACTTCTTGCTTGGCGTGCAGTAGGTTCTTACGGCGTTGGGGGAGGGTGTTCGGTTGATGAAACGCTTGCATTGGGTCATGAAGCGCTGTAGAAATACTTTAAGTTGTTTTAAGCACCTATTGTGTTTGAAGATGAGAAGGAATGAAACCTTATGAGGGGATGGGTGATCGCAGATTAAGCGATCCTGTCGCATGACATGCACTGCCTCGATGGGACCTGACAGTAAGGGTTGTATACGCGTATCCGCTAAATCAATGTCTTGGTGGGTTTGCCGCGGATGTTGATGACTTACGTATTCGTATTCAGGGGAGGGGCGAGACAGGGGATGGATGGGCTTCCCTGCTCCAGCCAGTTGTGTCGGTGCATCTAAATTGAATGGTTCGGGATCGCACTTTCAAAATACACGGCTTGAACTTGGTTGACACGACGGCATGAATGATGATTTCAGGGAGCTCTGTTGTCGCAGTAGATCACTACTACCCTGTTCTTCCGTTGCCTATGATTTCTATCGTGTACTGGCTCACCATCGAGGTCTATAAACAGGAAAGAAGCCATATGTTTGAGTACCGCACTACAAGATTCAAGGAGCTGTTGAGTAGTACGAATGATAGCTAAAGAAGGCTGCCGAGTCTGGTTGTGTTGTTAACTGCCCGAAGGTACGACACGTGACTGCATCAAAGAAGTAGTTCGAGTGTGACGGTATGAGGGAGTTGTTATCTTGATAGGTACTCGACGAAGAGCCATAGCACATAAGAATAGCATTTACTAAGTACGATATATGTAGTACCCAATCTTGTGTTAGTAGTTAGTTTAGCTGTTGCTCGAGAATAAGCCAAGTAGAAGAACCAGATATATATACTACTAATATTGCCTGAACCAATGTGATTCTCGAACAATGATACGAGTACTCCACAAAGCTTCCGTACAGGGATTCTAGTATTCTCACAATCCACCCTTAAGTACAGAGATCCAGGAATCTAGCATTCCTGCTTCAGCGCCGAGGCGTTAAGCATTGTGATGGTGTTGGGGTAGTCAGTATACCTCTTTCCCGCCTGTGGTCCTCGGGTCCCACTTTTCTCCGTGTAGGGGTCTCCTTTCTTTCTCAAACAAAAGGTGTGATCGTTGCCCGTTTGACCATGAACCTCCGCATCGAGTGTTTGTTTCAGATTGAGAAAGAGATGTGGGTTTAAGGTCGTTATGACTCTTGATAGGTTTAGTCGCAGGATCTACGAATTATCTCTTGGAGCCCCGGATAAGATCATCCTGAGATACTCTGTGCTCTCACCCAATGTAAAGCAGACACAATGCAATTGATCGTTTACCTGTACGTGGCCGTGTAATTTACCGCCAGTTTCCGCCAGATAAGCTTCTCTGACTCACCAATGGCAATGATTGTTGATGCATCGGACAGGTCTTGCATCATGACCCGGTGATCGCGTCCCACGCTGGCGCTTTCAGGTTACTGTAAAGAGTCATGATCAGAGGAAAACATATTGTTACAAAGTATTATAGGGGCCCCTCTGCCGTGTCTGTCGCTTTGGACCCTGAACCATAATTGCTTGAGTTGGAGTCCTCTTGAATTGCTTCCGGACATACTGTGGGAGATCTTTACACAGCCTACAGTTCATCCTTTGGGGCAGCCCCACCTACAAGGAACAGAAGCTCTACCCTGAGTCTCTTAAGCATCATGATTGTTTGAATAACTGACTGAACCAACCTTTTCGATGCTCTCCGGACTTCCAGACTCACAAGACTGTGTATCTAGACCATCTGGTTACTGGGTAGGTAGCCGCCCACAGTCTGTTCTGTAAATAGAACGAATCTCAAGTGGTGGCAAAGGAGAGCTTCCAATGGAGGACCACGTTTGGGACCGACCATCGGCCATCGACCGCCAATCGACGGCAGTGGATCCCCACTGCAATGGCCCACAAACGCGTGTCACTTCCGGCAGTCCAGAATCGGCTCTGGCCTATGATGCTTCTCATTCTGATACACCTCTAGATCCGCTCAGGTCTGATTGACAAACCCGGTTTTGCAGGTCAATGATAACGATAGGGCCTTCGTCAGCAACTTATCAACCGGCTGTGCCACCGGAGCGTCTGTACCTTGGCTAAAACCAGCTAAAGTAGACCAACCCACTAGTTGGAAATTCCAGATAGGAGAGCTGCTAGGTTTCAGGTACACCTCATCCTGCTGGGCCAACCGAACTTAATTATGGCGGTTCTGGCCCCGCCTCCACTGCCCATTGGATGGATCGAACCCTCCATCCATCACAGGGACTGGGTTTGCTTCACAATCCGTCCGTAGGATGGTTGAATATGATATACTGACTGCCTCGGGTTTAGGGTAGAATTAACCCAGTAAAGCATGACACTCTGGAAAGAAAGGATGGATGGGATTAGGACAGACCAAGCAAGGCAACGAGAATCATCATGCGACCAAATTCTTTTCCCGGGTCCGTTTGGGTCGAGCGTTGGTGGGGGAGAAAATCCGCTGGGAACCTTGAAAAGGCAATGTGGCGCTTTCCGTGCAACCAGCTCCATCGCAGAGTGTCTGGCCCGCTTGCGATTGGCAATGGCATTGTGGTCGTTGCTGTTGCTGTCTGTCATTCCTCGATGAACACTGCCATGGTCGCAATGGCAGCCCCGGATTTACTAATAATATTCTCTTTTGTCCGGAAAAAATAATTAAGGTAGTAATAATAAAAATACTAAAATAATAATCAATAGGCATAATAATAGTAAAAGGAAAAAATAATCCCACCTGCTAATTTCCCCTGTCACCCTTTTCGAGCCTTCCCTTAAGACCCAACCCGTCCCTCCTGGTCTGTCGCAACTCTGCTGCACCTTTTCTTTTTACCACCTACCCTTTCTGTTTCTACTTGCTTGCTTTCATTCTCACTTCTCGCCTCCTGGCTGTGGCGCCATCTTTTTGTCTCATACGCAGCAGCGTGCTTCTTACGGATCCTGTTTCTTTCGTTTCAATTTCTCTTGCAACAACCCTCGATTGGAGAAACAAACATCACCAAGACGGTTTAACTTAATTTCTGGTCGCATCGTAACCTTCATTTCCCTAGAGCATAAACCTCGGATCAATACGACATTCGTTTTCCCACTCTATTTCCTATTTACCCTATAATCCGTCAACATGAACGTCAATCGCAAGTTCGATCGCTTCAAGCAATGGGCGGGGGAGAGAATGGGCGGAGAGGCCAAGACCACTCTCTCCGATGACTTCAAAGCCTTGGAAACAGAGATGAACGTGCGCCACGAGGGTAAGGATCACGACACCCAAGTCTCATGGTATATATCCGGTCCATTTACTCATTTGCTACCCTTTAGGAATTGACCGTATCCACAAGGCGACTGGCTCTTACATCAAGTCCATTTCGAAGCGGAGTGAAGGTGACGATAAGGAAAAGACCTTGCCCATTGCTCATCTGGGTAGTAGCATGGTTGGCCATGGCGAAGACTTCGATGCGAACTCTGAGTACGGCCGCTGCATGACCAGTAAGCTAACATAACTACTGATTCGCAAGCTTTATGCTGATGACGTTGTCTACGCAGTGCTTGGAAGGGCCGAGGAGCGCCTGGCTCGTCTCCAGGACGCTTACATCTCCCAGGTAAACGCGGGGTGGCTGGAATCGCTGGAGCATTCCTTGACTCAGATGAAAGAGTACCAGGTATGACGGAGTTTGCGAGCACCAATTGAGTGGTCTGAAATGCTGACTCGATGTTTCACAGACTGCTCGCAAGAAGCTTGACAGCCGACGTCTGGCCTACGATACCTCCCTCTCGAAGATGGAGAAGGCGAAGAGGGAAGATTTCCGCGTGGAGGAAGAGCTCCGGACCCAGAAGGTCAAATATGAAGAGGCCAACGATGATGTATCACGGCGCATGCAGGACATCAAGGACTCCGAAGTTGACGGTGTTGCGAACCTGGAAGCGTTCCTGGAGGCTCAGCTTGACTATCACGAGCGCTGTCGTGATGTTCTTCTCCAACTCAGATATGACTGGCCGAGCAGGTGAGGATTGCTTGAATTGTAAAGCTACATCGTCATGCTAACGTACTAGCAGAGCCCAGCCTCCCAGCACCCGTCGTCCAGGACGCCCTCGCTCCAACACTGCGCATTCCTATCATGAACGTTATGAACCACTGCATGAGGAGACCGACAACACGGCTGATCTGCGGCCTATTATTCGATCGACCAGGGCATCTTCTATCGAGCCAGCTGCCAGAGAGGTCTACCCGCCAGATGCTTTCTCTCAGAGACCTGCTCTGAACAGAACTACGACATTTGAAGGACCTACGCAATTGCGCCAAGAGCAATCCCCTGGCACATACCAATGGCCATCCCGGGCAGCTAGTGACAACTATATTGGCCGCAGAAATAGCGTGCAGTCCCGGACCATGGGCAGATCATATGTTGACCCGTACATGGAACAGTCGGAGGAGCCTAGTCCTATTAGCGGCACCAGTCCCGAGAGGACGTATATGGGGCGGAATCCATCTCCAGTGTCTTCGTATGGAGGTGCTGTCTCGAGAAAGTCCAGCTCTACTACCCTGAATGGCACACCACTGAACAAGAAGGCTCCTCCACCCCCACCTCCCCGCTCCAAGAAGCCTGCGCCGCCACCGCCTCCCATGAAGCGCCCTATCCTCAGTGCAGGCGAATACTGAGTCTTTTATTTGCTCACGGTGTATCTTACTACAAACAAGCTGGACCTTGGAGGATTTGGCGGGCTATATACCAAATTGTTGCTCACGGATTTCCGGAAAATCTGTCTAGCGGGGGTGGTTGGCCACATATGCGCTGTATTCATCTCTACTGGAGAGTGATGGATAGAACTAATAAATCGGTTGGCAGAGCCTCGCACGGTCGCTAGTAGTCTGAAAAGGTTGATCAGCGATAATTTGGGCCTGCAGCAGCAGCAGTGGTGGATGAATGCCACGGAACACACACAGGACAGGTGTCCCACAGACGTGTTAGTGCATAAGGGATGGGTTTTTGTTTTTCTTTTCTTAGACGGGGTTGGTAGTGTAAATTATTCAGTCCTTGGGATAGGCATTTATCAAGTCATCGGCGTTTGATGCTGGCGTATTCGTATAAGCACCTAACAATAGTTCTCTCCTCAACGTAGTATCCCGATGTTAGCGCGGAGTGCCGAGGGCGGGCACGACGCTAGGTCCAAGGCGGGCAAGCCGGTGCGGCCTAGCTGAGTCAGCGACGGGCGCGGGCAGTGAATACACGTGACCCGGCACGAAATCTTCTTCCAACGTCTCGCCGCCTGCCTCTCCTCGTTACAGGCACAGGCTGAGCACCGCCAGTTTCCCCGACCAGCACGGAAAGTCGCGAAAGCCCCGTCCCCTCCATCTCCATTTCATCCAGACTGGCCTTCCACGCGCCTTTTCCAACGCGGCCCCTCCGTCTGGGGTCCTTTCCACCCCTACATCCTCGTGTTTTACACCCCCTTCCCCCTTCTTCCTGATTCTCCTGTTTTGTCACCTACCGCCCTGTGTCTCCCCCGGCCTGGTCCAAACATCACGAAACTTGTCGCCAAGGTCCAGATACAGACCGCTACCAGTCGCATTCATCGACATAAGGAGCTCCCCATCCCTCCACATCAGTAATTTAGCGCACTCGATCGCCCTTCCCTGCGCAAATTGTCATTTACCCTCGCTGTCCTCAATTCCCACGTGTTTCCCTAGGCGCTTGTTCGGGGCCTGTCGCATCCAGGTCGCTTCCACGTCGCCCCCCAGCGTGTCGTTTCGCTTATGAATACGTCCACCACGCGCTAAACCATGGCTTCTCTCCAGTCAGCACCCAGTATGGCGGCTGGAAACATGTCGTTGCCGCCAAACATCACGCAACAACAAATCCAAGAGGTCTTCCAGGTATGCTTTTCCGTCCCTTGTGGAAGCACTACCACCACACCTCCCTGTTATCTACCTGCTTTCTCTCCCTCAATATATATTCAATTAATTTTCAAATGTAAAATCCCTCTGACATAGCTCCTCGATAGAAATTCAAACAGATGCAGGAACAAGGCGTTCGCCATGATGACCCTGAATACCTTAAGGCCCACAATCTTCTATCAGCCTTTCAACGGCAACAAGCCTACCACAAACAGAGGCAGATGCAACAGCAGCAATTGCAGGTGCAGCAACGTCAACAGCAGCAGCAACAACAACAACAGCAGCAACAGCAGCTCAATGGCTCGAATACTGATGCTGTCGCTGCGAATGGCATGAATGGTACGTCCTATCTCTTCTCATTGTACATAGCATGTCGTATGGCTTGCTCATTGACTCGGATCCATTATAGGCCGCAACAATTCTATTCCCAGCGCGACAAATACCAATATACCGGATGCCAGCGCGACAGGGGGTCAACAGCCTGTAGCCCAGGGCGTCCCTCAGAAAGGCGCACCTGGGACCGGGAATAGCTTCTCTGCTGAGCAGCTTGCAACGCTTAGGAACCAAATCCTAGCTTTCAAGATGCTATCTAAGAACCTTCCGATTCCGGCTCGCGTTCAACAGCAACTTTTCCCTTCGAAGAAGCAGGAGACTCCTGCTCCATCCGAGAATGTCGCGGCTGCGGAAGGCGTCTTGGAAGCCACTGCTCAGAGCAAGCCGGATCAGCCAACTACAACAGAAGCCCCTCAGCACAAAGATTTCTATCAGAACTTCCAGGCGCCATACGATCTGATACCCAAGACTGTCAGCTTTACCGACCACGCCTCTCGCGCCAACCGCATGCGTATTCCCGCTTTGATGCCACCTGGAATCGACCTCGAGCAAGTGCGCGAGGAACGGGAAATAGCCCTCTACAACAGAATCAACGCACGAAAGGCGGAATTGGCTGAGCTTCCTGCCAATATTGGCGCGTGGGATTCTAGCCAGAGCGACACCGCCACTGCGGATGACTCTGTGAAGCTCAAGGCCCTTATTGAATACAAGATGCTCAATCTTTTACCGAAACAAAGACTTTTCCGGAAGCAGATTCAGAATGAGATGTTTCATTTTGACAATCTGGGCATGACTGCGAATCGTTCGAGCCATCGCCGTATGAAGAAGCAATCACTACGGGAGGCTCGTATCACCGAGAAGTTGGAGAAACAGCAGCGCGATGCTCGCGAAACGAGAGAAAAGCGCAAGCAGTATGATCATCTTCAGGCTATTCTTACTCATGGTGCCGAGTTGCAGACCGCTGCTGCCCAACAGCGTACTCGTATGCAGAAACTGGGCCGCGCGATGCTTCAGCATCACCAGCACATGGAGCGTGAAGAACAGAGACGTGTGGAGCGTACCGCCAAGCAACGTCTCCAGGCTTTGAAGGCCAACGACGAGGAAACGTATCTCAAGCTGCTCGGACAGGCCAAGGATTCTCGTATCTCTCACCTTCTTAAGCAGACCGATAACTTCCTCAAACAGCTTGCTGCCTCCGTCCGGGAGCAACAACGGAGTCTGGCCGAGCGCTATGGCGAAGAAGACCAGTTCTTTGAAGAAGATGAAGAAGAGGAGATTGCTTCCGGAAGCGAAGATGAAGGTGACGGAAAGAAGAAGATTGATTACTATGCCGTTGCACATCGCATCAAGGAGGAGGTGACTGTTCAACCCAGTATCCTTGTCGGTGGTACGCTCAAGGAGTACCAGATGAAGGGTCTACAGTGGATGATTTCCCTGTACAACAACAACCTCAATGGTATCTTGGCTGATGAGATGGGTCTCGGAAAGACCATTCAGACCATCAGTCTAATCACTTACATCATTGAGAGGAAGAAGAACAATGGTCCCTTCCTCGTCATCGTCCCTCTTAGTACCCTTACCAACTGGAACCTCGAATTTGAGAAGTGGGCGCCGTCTGTTTCTCGTGTTGTCTACAAGGGACCCCCCAATGCCCGTAAGCAACAACAGCAACAGATCCGTTGGGGTAACTTCCAGGTTCTATTGACAACCTACGAGTACATCATCAAGGATCGTCCGATTTTGAGCAAGATCAAGTGGACTCACATGATTGTCGACGAAGGTCATCGTATGAAGAACACTCAGTCCAAGCTGAGCAGCACGCTTTCACAGTACTACACTAGCCGTTACCGTCTTATTTTGACGGGTACACCTTTGCAAAACAACCTTCCCGAGTTGTGGGCACTGCTGAACTTCGTCCTGCCTAATATCTTCAAGTCCGTCAAGTCGTTTGATGAGTGGTTCAACACACCTTTTGCCAACACAGGTGGACAAGATCGTATGGAACTGAGCGAAGAAGAACAACTGCTGGTGATCCGTCGCCTTCACAAGGTTCTGCGGCCTTTCCTGCTGAGACGTCTGAAGAAGGATGTCGAGAAAGATCTTCCTGACAAGCAAGAGAGAGTCATCAAGTGCCGTTTCTCTGCGTTGCAAGCCAAGCTATACAGGCAGCTTGTCACACATAACAAGATGGCTGTCAGCGATGGCAAGGGAGGTAAGACCGGTATGCGTGGTCTTAGCAACATGCTGATGCAGTTGCGAAAACTCTGCAACCATCCGTTCGTGTTTGAGCCAGTGGAAGACCAGATGAACCCTGGACGAGGAACCAACGATCTGATTTGGCGTACTGCCGGTAAATTCGAGCTTTTGGATCGGATTCTGCCTAAGTTCCGAGCCACTGGCCATCGCGTCCTGATGTTCTTCCAGATGACGCAGATTATGAACATTATGGAAGACTTCTTGCGTCTTCGTGGATTGAAGTATCTCCGTCTTGACGGATCCACCAAATCAGACGACCGGTCCGATCTGTTGAAATTATTCAACGCCCCGGATTCGGAATACTTCTGCTTCCTGCTATCGACACGAGCAGGAGGTTTGGGTCTTAACCTTCAGTCCGCCGATACCGTCATCATTTTCGATTCTGACTGGAACCCTCATCAGGATTTGCAAGCCCAGGATCGTGCGCATCGTATCGGTCAAAAGAATGAAGTTCGTATCTTGCGTCTGATCAGTTCCAATTCGGTTGAGGAGAAGATTCTGGAGCGAGCTCAGTTCAAGCTCGATATGGATGGCAAGGTCATCCAAGCAGGAAAGTTCGACAACAAGTCTACCAATGAGGAGCGTGACGCTTTGCTGCGGACGCTTTTGGAGACTGCTGAGGCAGCCGATCAGATTGGTGATCAGGAAGAGATGGATGACGATGATTTGAACGACATCATGGCGCGGTCCGACGAGGAGTTGACTACGTTCCAGCGTATTGATAAAGAACGACAGAAGACCGTACAGTACGGCCCTGGTCACAAGTACCCTCGTCTGATGTGCGAAGAAGAGTTGCCCGACATCTATCTTACGGAAGACAACCCGGTAACTGAGGAGGTCGATGTTGAGTTAGCTGGTCGCGGTGCACGTGAACGCAAGGTTACCCGGTATGATGACGGACTTACCGAGGAACAATGGCTTATGGCTGTCGATGCGGATGATGACACGATCGAGGATGCTATCGCTCGGAAAGAGGCGAGGGTCGAGCGTCGTCGGGTGAACAAGGAGAAGCGTCAAAAGAAAACAGTGGGTGATTCTTCACCGGAGCCTTCCCGCGAGAACTCCGAGACGCCTCAGCCGAAGAAGCGTCGCAGGGGTCCCGCTCCCAAGCGCAAGGCTGAGGAGGTTGTGGAGGAAACGCCTCAGCCAAAGCGGAAGAGGGGAAGACAAGCCAAGCCGGTTGAGACGCTGTCTCCCGAGGATCGTGCCATCCTGCAACGCATCGTCAATACCGTATACCAAGCGTTAATGGATATGGAGGCGGAGCTGCCGGCCGATTCGTCAGACAGCGAGGATGGCCCTGTTACGCGGTCCATCATTGAGCCATTTATGAAGCCACCGCCCAAGTCGCATTATCCCGACTATTACATGGTCATTCAGAACCCGATCGCCATGGATATGATCAAGAAGAAGATCAACCGTGAGGAGTATCAGAGCCTGAAGGACTTCCGAAATGACATCCATCTCCTTTGCCAAAATGCCCGGACTTACAACGAGGATGGCAGCATCCTGTTCCAGGATGCCAATGATATCGAGGTGAGTACACATCTGTGAGCAGACGAGATTGAGCAGTTACTGACCGTACCTAGGCAAAATGTTTGGCGGAGCTAAAGAAGGAGACCGAAGGCTACCCACAGTTTGCCAACTACGATGACTTGGGTGGACAAGGCGGAAATGATCAGTCGACTGCTGCGGCATCGGGGGCCGAAACACCTTCAGCGGTTGCTACGCCAAAGCTGAAGCTCACGTTCAATAGCGGCAACCGAGACAACGCCGCGGCTGCAGGAGCCGGCAATGGCGTCAATGAGAATGATTGACATTGCTAATAGACGTTGGTGAAGACATAGTGGCTGTTATTTCTTGACATGGTTTAACGTGTTGCAAAAACTTCGAATACCTGCACATTACATTCTATGCTGTTTTGATCTGTCTTTGATATGCCCCCCCTTTTTTCCCTACCGACTTTTGCTCTGTGGATGGCGTTCCTGTGACCTTTTGGTGGCTGGGGATGGACGATGGTTGATGGCGCACTGCTCTATTCGATTTGAAGACGAGCGATTTCTCCTTTTACACTTCTCTCCCCGGAATCCTCTTCGAATTTTCTATTACTACACCTGTTTTTCTTTCTCTCTCTCTCTTCCATTTTCCTCATTTGAGTGCCGACGATGTCTAGACCGGGCAGGTCGTGGATCTTTCACTGTCACTTCGGACTCGGCTGGGAGGGTTCTGCCCGCCAGGGGAGTCTCGCTTTTGAAGATGACATTGGTTGTAATTGGATCTTCAACTATGTGATTTATTAGCGACGGTCAATGTAGCCCTACGTAATGTACCATGTTTGATGTTGGTGTGCAAAATTATGCCGTGTGGATTCCTATAGCTACGAGGGTAGACAGATTGATTGTGAGATACCGACAATGAGAATATCATTGTAAACATGCCATCGTGTATTTCAAACCAGCTTGGGCCTGAATTATATTGGCCGACTTCGTAGCTCGGTCGCAAGATGCCCGTAAGGCAGTAGATGCTTACACCATGAGATACATTATGACACCGCAACATGCTATCTACACATTCGAATTGGAAATCCATATTTTACATGAGTTCTTCGACTTTCAGCCTGTTTCCAGTAAGGAGTTGAAAACCAACGTGTGGTTCGCTAACTATTTAGTTAGGAACCTCTCTGCCTATCAGGTTCACAGGCTCATAGATGGTGGGATAAAGTGTACTATGGATTGAAATGGAAACTAATTCCGCACACACAAACACAGACACAAACACCGGGCACGATAATCCACTTCTTTCCACCAGATCTGTAGTCTAGTATTGTCTAGGATTTCAGGACACCTTCTATTGATATAAGAATTACCTACGTGATTTTCTAGAGAGTTTTTTTACACCTACAAAAATTCGATAGATAGTTGCATTCCGACTTGTGTGGGAATGGGTTTGTTGGATGCAACTGCAGATCTTGTTACGTATCAGACCCCCGGTCAATCCAGTCCGAAACTTTGGTAAGCGATCGGGATTCGTTCGATCTTTGGATGGGACGGGAATGGATCTCTCTTTCTCCGTGTCTTTCTCTTCCTCTCTAAACTATGTATAGAAGGTGGGCATATTACTGGGAGAGAAGGAGGTTCGGTCATTGGTTGATGGGGATGGATGCAGATGCAGATTTCATGTACCTACTTACTTAGTTACTACTAATACTACTAGTCCTACTAAATTCAAGCAAGGTCCTGAATTTTGTCCTGGTCGGGAGGAACTCTTATCGACACAGATACTTTTTGGTGGTTGGAGTGTTTACTCCTATCATTTAACATCACAGTTTACTTACTACCTTTATATATGCTGGATGATAGATAGTATGTGCACTATGTAGAGCCATATCAGAGTATTAGTTAGTCGATAACTAATATTAATCAATAACTCACTATTTAATGTGAGGGATAATTCCAGCCCCAGTGGAGCCCAAAACAAAAAGAAAAAAAAAGCTGCACAAGAAAAAAGCCCTGCCGCCGGGGCCCGGACGAGACCCCCCGTAACATACTATACATCGCTGATACCGAGCGTATCGATCGAACTGTCTGGAAAGAAATCCCTCCAGAACTCCGTCCAAGAGAAAGTACACTGACTGTAGGAAAGAGATAAAAAATCCTCAGAAATCAAGCACACGACCAGCATCCCCATCTGACCCACCTTGAGATGCACTCTCATGTGCTTCTATTCCGGTCAAACAGATTGCTTGCTGGAACGTCATCTGGGGACAATAATGGCCAGCCCTCGACGTCATGAGCCCATCACGTGACCCCACCGTCATCCCGGCTGGCGGTTCCGTAACCGCCAGCTCGTCCTTTCGAATCTCACCTACTCGTTCGTCCTCCTCTCCTCTTCTGCCGCGCCCTGATAACGACCGAATCCGACTTTCGCTTTCCCTTCTCCAAGAGTTTACGAACCCAGATCTTTCATCCTTCTCCTAGTACAGCTTCTGCTATCTTCATTTTCCTTCGAAAATGGCCTCTTTCCAGGATCGTGCTCAGCACGCCATTGCCCAGCTCGACAAGGAGGTAAGTCGTGTGTGCGTTTTCTGGTTTTGTGTCCTATTCCTCCTCCCTGTCTCCCCCCCAATCGGTTTGCGAAAGGGGTTTCCTTTCTACCTGCATTGTATCTGCTCGTTTATTCCTGTCTTACAATGTTTATTCATCACGGATTGGAATCGTCGGAGAGCTGGAGGATGGGATGAAGTCGTGTTGTTGTTCTCCGATTTCTGCCTACTTGCATATTTCTCAGCCGCCAGTTTCGAAGCTAAACTAACCATCTCCTCTTCACACTTTAGCTCTCCAAGTACCCTGTCCTCAACAACTTGGAGCGCCAGACCTCCGTCCCCAAGGTCTACGTGATCCTGGGCCTGGTCGGCGTCTACTTCTTCTTGGTCTTCTTCAACATCGCCGGTGAATTCCTCGTCAACCTCGCTGGTTTCCTCATCCCTGGTTACTACTCCCTGAACGCTCTGTTCACCGCCGGAAAGGCCGACGACACACAGGTATGCTCCATCTCTTTATTCCCTACTGTTTTCTTAGATGATAATTGTGCTGATGATCGTGACCCTGCGTTTAGTGGTTGACGGTATGTTTCTCGTGATCCCCGTTATCGCGACATGACTCGGGCGTTTCATACGCCTAGGTTATCTTTCTGCACGTGACGACGTGCGCTCGTCAGCTAGCGGTTATACTGATTGGCATGTGATTCTTCTAGTACTGGGTTGTTTACGCCTTCTTCACCGTCATTGAGAGCGCCATCTCTGCCCCCTACTGGTTCCGTAAGTATTCGCAACGTTTGATGTGATTCCTACAGTGGAAAGTACATAAACTGATCGCGACGCTTCAACACAGCCTTCTACTACATCTTCAAGTTCGCCCTTGTCCTCTGGATGTCTCTTCCCCAGACCAAGTAAGCTATCCACTTCCCGCAGCTCCGAAACCCATTATTATTATCATCACCAGAACTCCGACTGACCCTCTTCTCCAGCGGTGCTCAAGTTGTCTTCCACTCCTTCATCCAGCCCGTGCTCGGCCGCTTCTTCCAGGGCGGTTCCACTTCGGCCAACCTCCGCGCCCAGGCCGAGGCTGCTGCTAAGGACCAGTAAATAGCTAAACCGCGAACTCCGGGTGAATCTGTGGCTTGATCTCGGTCAACTCACAGAGTCAGTCGTGTCTCGGTTTATGTTTTGGAGGAATTTTGCAAAACAAAGGCAATTACGAAAGCTTTCCTTCTAGGATCCTTTCAATGCCGATATGTTTGGAGAAAATCGATGTAACTGGATGAAGCGGTGTGATTGATTGATTGATTGACTGATTGATACGATACGATACTTTGAGCCTTGTCGGGCGAGAATTGGGCTATCCTTGTGTGGTTGTTTTCATGCTGTTCATTTTTGCCATGACTTGAATCTAAGTAGAATTGCGTGTTGAATCTTTTCGCGTTGGTTGGAAAGGGGAGAGGTTATCACGGGCCTAATATCCGTGCTCTCTCCCATGGCTGTGTGGTATTATTATTATAGCTATACTTTGATGCATTATGCCTCGTTTCTTGGTAAATTGAGCATTGTCAATAACTTGACTGGACTGGACTTGACCCTCCTGGTCATTCATTCATTCATTCCTTTTCTCGTGTCTTCTCTTGTCTTCTCTTGTCTTCCTTCTCTGTCGAAGGGAAATGGGAGAGTGTAAGTGGCGGACATTGGGGGGTGGGGGGTATAAGAACATTTCATCCTCTGAACCGAATCCGAAGGAGACGCATATGATAAAGGGGACAAAAAGAAGCGGGATAAAATACACTTGCAAGAGAATCAAAGCTGGTTGTTGTTGTTGCGAATGCCACCGACGCCGGAATGGAAACGGACCAGGGGTGGCGGCAGGCTGCTACTCCTGGGCAAACACATACTATGACATAGGTAGCATTCCATATGCATCCCCAGACGTGCCCTGCCGCGCCAGCCTGCCCTTCGGATTGTCTTCATGTATATCATATCAATATTGCGTCCAGGTGACCGTAGCCTGGGCACATTTTTTGTGTGTGATTAAAAGGAAAGAAGCAGTAGAGGGGTAGTAGGTAGGTAGCCTGCATCAGTATAACCCAAAGCGATTCTGCCAACCATCCGATCTCGGGTTTAAAACCACGCGATAAGGAAACGGATTCGAATCGCTCGTAGTGATCGGGGGAATGTGCTCCTTATCGCGGTTAACCACGGCTAGGATCTTCAGGACGGCTTTCTGAAGCATATTCTCCATTGCTTTGCGCACTTTGGCGCGTTCTAGACCCGGCAATCACATGTCAGTACAAGGGAGAGAGGCAATGGCTTGGCAGATGGGGGGGGGGGGGGGGGAGGTGGGTTGGGTTGCGTCCATACCAGACTCTGTTCGAGGAGTGGCTATCGTCACGTCCAAATTCCACACTTCCCAGCATACTTCTTCCTCGCCCTTCCCTGATAGTCCGCCAAACCAGATTCCCGGTCGTCGACGTCGCTTTTCGTAGAATTCCACGGCCATCCGTGCCCGGACACCCCCGCCGCCGCCATCGGGGGCGCTGGCGGCGGAGGAGTGCTGGCGGACGAGGGAACTCACACGGGAGTCGATGAGGGTTTCGAGGTCTACGTCGTTGATGGCGGGGAGGGTGAAGTCGAGGACGTCGAAGGTGATTGGGCGGATGGAGGGGAAGTATCGGTGGAAGAAGATGGTGTTGAGAATACCTGTTTGTGGAGAAGAGATGTTAGTATTTAGGTTTTGTAGTTATAGAGACGACGATTCAGTGAAGAGAAGAACTGACTCACCTTTTAACACGTCGCGGACGTTGGTGGTATCTGCGAAGATCTCCAAAAAGTACTCCGGGGGCGTTTTGCGGGGCTCCATCTTGATGGGGGCAGCGACCGGTGCCACCCTCTTGTTTAAGATGGAGAAATTAACTGAGCTCAGCGATCGGCAAGCACAAGTGACGGTCCAGTTAAGTTCCAAGCTGAGCTGTCCAGCGGGGAAGGGGTTCCGACGTGTTTAGTCGAAGGATGGATCAGATCGAGTCTGGGGTTGAAGGGGGAGGAACCAGTGATGGCGATGACGCTGGCGTTCGGGGGGGGAGGGAGGGGGACAGAGCGGGATTGATTGACTAGGACCGGTGTGGAGATGTTGGCATGGAGAAAGGTTTATGGGGGAGGCATGGTTTGCTGGGGATATAATCCATGTGTATTCAAGGATTCTGAAGGGCAGAGTTATATATGGAGGAGAAAGAAAGGAAGAGAAGAGAAGAGAGAAGATAAAGAAAGGAAGATAGAAGACGATGATGAAGGGAAGAATAATGGAGAGTCATGGCGTGTATGTAATGATGGGGAGCCCCTCGCCTGTGACGGTATGATGGCTGTTCTCCTTATCCCTTATCAGCCCTGATAGGGGGCATCCGCGTCTGTATCGTCTGGTATTGGCGGTACCTGGCAAACTGCGTCCACGTCGGACAGAATCAGGCTGAGATGCAAATGAAAAGAACAGAAACACCGTGACTTCTAATAATGATGATGCAACTAATCGCGGGGATGAAGTGGCACAAACTAATGCCATTCGGTTCTTCTTCCCAGTCCCCACAACTTCTGTCTGTCTACTAGTCTAATCATGTACAGAGCATAGATATATCTAGTCTATATCCTCGCATCCGTGATAGCCTGACCCGCTGGTGACGATCATACGTGGTTGCTGCTGGCTGCTCTTTAGCCGAGGCCGCTCCAGGGACCCTCGATCCCCGACCGTGCTTCCCGTCGCTCTTCCATCACTCACGCCGTCTCTTCGGCTTTCCTTGTGATTCCCAACCTCCATTCTTCTTTTTCTTGCTTTCTATTTTACCTCGTACGATGAACTACGCTGCTCCCTGTATCTGAGAAACTGTTCCCGATCATCTTTGCTCCATAATGATCAGTGCTACTAAGCGCTGGTTCCGGCGCAATCGCAAGGGCCTTGCGATCGGAGCTGGCGTGATCGGAGCGGGCTATCTTGCAGGCCAGTATCTGCTGTCCAAGATCTCAGAGGCACGCGAGCGCATGAGTAGTGACCGCATTGCTCGGGAGAAGTAAGTGATGGGCCTCCCTTACCTCGCATTATCTCAACGCTGTGACCTGCTCGCGTGTTCGAAAACGGTAACTGACGGCTATTGCCTCTTGTCCAGCTTGCGGCGACGCTTCGAACAAAATCAGACCGACTGTACCTATACTGTGCTAGCTCTATTACCGACCGCGGCAGAGGATATCCTCGAGGCACTTCCCGTGGAAGAATTGACCAAGGAACTCCAGAAGAAGCGTGCCGAGCGACTAGCTCGTCTTAACGCTGGGGAAGGAACAGGCTCGGATCTAAGCTCGGTGGGCCCCAGTATAACGGACGACGATCGCCGCAGCTTGTCTAGCTTCCAAAGCGATGGCTTTGTCCGTACGAGTCAATTAGGGGAGTCGACCATCGAGGGGAGCGGCTCACCACGGCCGAAGCGAAACAAGACTCAGCTATGGAACGAAGTCAAGATAACCTGTCAGTCACCCCATATTGTCACTTCTTTACAGGAACCAAGGAGTCTAACGGACCATCATAGCTATCACTAGGTCGTTTACACTCATCTATACCCTGACCTTGCTGACCATCTTCACTCGAATCCAACTCAACCTGCTCGGCCGACGCAACTATCTGTCCAGCGTGATCTCCATGGCTACACCCCCTGCGGATGGATCGACTATTCGTCTGGAGGATCACGATGATGATGACCTCACACAAACACTGGGAAATGACTTTGAGACAAATCGGAGATACCTTGCCTTCAGTTGGTGGCTGCTTCACCGAGGCTGGAAGCAGTTGATGGAGGAGGTGCAGGCCGCCGTGACAGAGGTGTTCGGTCCTTTGAACCCCCGGGAGGACATTTCTGTGAGCAAGCTGTCGGAATTGATCCTACAAGTCCGTGGGAAGATAGAGGGCGTGACCGAGGAGGACAGGAAGTACGTTGACTATGAGCAAGTCCTAGTGGCCGGGTGCTGACCGTTCATTTGTCTTATCAGGTATCGGAAGTGGTTGTCTTATGTGCTCCCCTCGCGGGAAGAGGAGGACCATTTGTTGCAGGAGTCTGGGGTTCTCGGAGTGACGGAACCCGCGACGCCTCAAACAACAGCATCGCTGCGCCATCTCCTGGACGAGACGGCCGATCTGATCGACTCTCCGACTTTCACTCGTGTTATGTTGCTTCTCAACAATGAATGCTTCCAGACTCTCATTGAACAATGCAAGGCCGACGCGTTCAAGTCGTCCACTCAGGTGCCCACGTCCGTTCCTCAGTCGTTCACATCGGTCGCCACGGTCGTCCCCGCGGCTGACGGCTCCGACACGAAGACGAAGCTGGCAAACGTGTTGGCCGTTCTGGCTCGACAAGCCCATGTGATCGGAAATGGGACAGCTCCCCCCAACTTGTATCTTACTTCCATCGAACAAGGAGTACGAGAGCTCGAGGCCTTTGCGGCTGTTATATACAGCTCAAATTTTGACTCTGAGCTGCTTGGGACCGATCCAAGGACGCAGCCATCGGGAGCAGAGGCGGGCTTTGAGGTTCCTACATCGCCTGCCCCCGAGATGATTGAGAAGGAGGAGGTCAGCGAAGAAGGACCTACCCCAGGAGCGTCCGTCGTAGCAGTGGACGATGACTCGGCCTTTGAGAAGGCATGGGGAAAGGCTGTAGACGACCAACCGTCGAGCAGTTGACCGTGTGACTGTATGCGGGCTTTTAGAGAATGTTGGGGAAGTTCGGGAATATCTGTGGCATAAATGGTCCCTAATCTATCCGGAGTCTCGTCTCGGCGCGGACTGAGGGAAGATATGGTATGATTGTATGATAGCTCGTGGTGGCGAGTAACTATTCTTTATGACAAGCTAGCTTATATGGGTTATGGGTATTCTAGAATCATTACCGGAAGGGCGGGGCATGTTGCTAGACTGGATGTTGAAAGTATCAGTATTCTCGTCCGCGTCCTCACTTCTCAGGGTGTTGGGGGGGACGTGGGACGAATGAAGGGCAGCACGTGGCCAGCCACTGCCACACATGATGGGCCCAAATGAGCAGACTTGACAATCTTTGCCGAGCGACTTGGGAAGACTTCGATTTGCGCGCTTATGCAGGTTGTACGACTGTATACGGCATCTGTGCTACCCGGTCCATATCTCTTTGCTCTCTCATTGGGCCTACATGTGCATTTAGCTTTGAGTTGCGACCTGTGGCTGGATTCTGTAGTGGCCTGAAAGCATGAAATTCGACAGCGCGCAGATACTTCGTCGTCGTTCGAATGTCCATAACTCTCCCGATTTTGCCCAGTGCTTAGGGAACGAACTGCTCGAGAACAGCCGATTGTGGGGTAGATAAGCTTAGCGAAGGAAGGGATCTGCGGGGAAAGGTGGGTTTGGCACGGCTAGTCCAGTATTATTATCTATTGAGTCCAGTGGAGTTGGCCATGGCTGGGCTACTGCTTAAAAGTACCTGCTCACTGCTTACTCTCTACTCCTTACTAGACTAGGATTGTGATCCCCGGGACAGGGAACTGGCAGACTGGATGGAGCTGGCAGCCGGGCATGTTCTCCTCCATTCCATTCCTCCTAAACTCTCTTCCCCTCGGCATGTTACATCCGTCCGGACTGGCATCATCTTTGGTTCCTACCCAGATAAAGCCATCACCATGGCCTCAGACTGTGCAGATAAGCAATCGGATGAAACCTTCGAGTGGCACGGCTTGGGAGCCACCATGGATCGGACAATCATGCTAAGCAATGCCCAGCCTGTCAGGCTATCTGACTTGCGGATTAGGCCGAAATGGGTAGGATTTGTCCGACCCGTCCCATTTTCCTCGCTAATGTAAGGCCTCCCCGAGTCAATGAGTTAATTGGTCCTCGTCCACTGCCGTGTTCATCACAGCGGGCTGTATAGGCTATTGGTTAGGCTAGATGGTTCGTCAGCCGCCATCGATGCAGTCCGTATTCACTATCAATCTGTCTGGCACCCCTGCTTGCCCCTCTTGTGCTGTCTTTTCTTCTTTCTGCTCCCCTATGCATGGCCAATTGTCGTGATCCTCTACTCAAATAGTGTCTCTGCGCCGTATCTCGTCTGTTTACGCGCTCATCGTGTCATACATCCCTTGCTTCTCGAACTTTATTTTGGCACCTTTTATCTGCCGAGAGTACGCCCTTGTCAACTGGAGTAATCCGGTCACGATATTTCTATCTATCGTGTCGCAATACCGCGCAGAGACACAGAAGCGTACAACAATATTCATATTTCCGCGCACAACTCGCGATGGGGTCATCCGAAGGTACAGTTCATACGCATCGAGGTCTCACGAAGACGATAATGACCTCAATTTGCGTAAACAGAGACCATAGACCGCTCTCCTCAGCCCGGACCCGGATTGAAACCTGAGGACCACATTGAAGCGCTTCCCTCGGACCTCCCTGTTCTTACCACAACCACGGAGCGCAGGCTCTTGGCCAAGATTGACTGGCACATCGTCCCATGTCTCTGTGTTCTGTATCTACTTGCTTTCCTGGATCGGTATGTGCCTCCGTGCTGTCTTTGTAATGAGATGTCATTTCCATAACAGTTTGTGTCTGGTACAGTGTCAATATCAGTAATGCGGCCGTACTCGGGCTCGAAACGGATCTCAACATCGCGACTGGAACGAAGTACAATACCGCACTCACTATATTCTTCGTGCCCTACGTTATATTCGAGATCCCGTCCAATATCTTGCTGAAGAAACTGAAACCTCATGTATGGTGTACGTGTCCTACGTACATGAACGCCGTTGTGCACCGTTTACTGGGTTGCTGATGATGGCAGTGTCTTTTTGTATGTTCGGGTTCGGCCTCGTCACGATATGTCAGGGCTTAGTCTCAAACTGGGGTGGACTGATGACTACACGCTGGTTCCTGGGTATGAAGGCATCCACATCCAACGACACATAGCTAATATCGACACAGGGATGTTTGAAACGGGCATGTTCCCTGGATGTAGGTGGTCTCTTTCCAAAGCTCTGAGAGTCTTTTGCTAATAGAGTGCCTGCCAAGGCTTCTATCTTTTGGGCATGTGGTATAAGCGTAGTGAGGCACAGAAGCGCTTTAGTTTCTTCTTCAGCTCGACCACATTGGCGGGCGCCTTCGGCGGCCTGCTTGCCAGCGGTCTAGGGGAGATGGCCGGGCTCCGAGGTTACGGGGGCTGGCGCTGGGTTTTCATCATTGAGGGAGTTATCACCTGCGTGGTTGCCATTGTCTGGTTCTTCATAATCCCCGGGTTCCCAGAGGATGTCAAGTGGCTTAATGAGGAAGAGCGAATGTACATCCGGGCTAAGCTGGCTCGTGATGCAGGAAAAGCTGGGCATGATGCTCGTATGGGTTGGCGCGATGTGTTGGCTGTGTTCAAGGACTGTAAGTACATTCGAGGGCCAGGAGGCGCCATTTCATTCCTGCATATGCTGACTGAGATATAGACAAAATCTTTCTTGGCGGATTTATGTATTTCGGGCAGGTTGTCACAGCATATGGTAAGTTTGATTGTCATCTTGATCCGTGAGTATCTGGAAAGTAGTATAGGGTAACAAGCTCAGGATATGCTTTCTTTGCCCCGACTATTATCAAGACCTATGGCTACGGAAGTATGTATTCGTCACCACTAAATGCGCTGTATGCTGAGCTTTTGTACTAGCCATCCTAACGCAACTGTACTCGATCCCACCGTGGGCAGCAGCGTTTGCATTTTCGATGATAATTGCAACATTTTCGGATCTAACCAGACACCGGTTGGCTTTCACTTTGATTCCTACAGCCATCGCCATGGCTGGATTTGGAATACTATTGAATGTACACGGAGAGGCTCACCGACACGTCCAATACGGCGCGCTCTTCATGGTGACCTGTGGCTGCTATAGTGCGATGCCGGTTATCGTATGCTGGTTTGCTATGAACCTAGGGGGTCATCGCAGGCGGAGCGTGGGCACGGCATGGCAGGTTGGGTTCGGTAACAGTAAGTGACGTCGACGCAAAGCATAAATTGATGACGCTGCTGACATGGCTTATCTACCAGCGGGAGGTATCATCTCCACATATGCATTTCTAGCCAAAGATGCGCCTGAATATCGGAATGGTTACATTATCAGTCTGTCCTTTATCTGCTTCTCTGCGGCCTGCTGCATTGGATACTTTGTGGCTCTCTGGACGGAGAACAAGCGACGAGACCGGGTCATGGCCAATGGCGCCCCAGCGGAGCTGCGAGCAGATGAAGAAGAGGTACAGGGAGATCTGGCGGTGACCTACCGCTACGGCTACTAAGCGATTGTCCCAATGCAGCTTGAGAATCCTCATCTTCAATTCTGGCGGACATCTACATTCTACATAGACCACGATGTTATTCCTAGGTATACAGTAGTAGATAGGGCTGGCTAGGGCTGGCCTCGATAATACACACGAACAGGTGAAACGGGAATAGTGAATCTCAATGCCATTGAACGCATCATAACAACGAGTCTTTTTTTTTTCTCAATGGTAATGGGTTCCCACCGCATGCCACGGTACTGAAGGTACACGCACCGGGAGGGTTGATGTCACGGGCAAGGCCCAAAGCGGTAATGCCAGTCTCGGTAAAGCAGTGGATGACAATCAGCGAGCCAATCAGCGCCGGCGCAACACTAGCGAGCCCTTAGCGGCATTGCATGCTGAGTCAGCCACGGCGCACACAAGAAGCTCAACCGCGGCCGCTCTCCATCATTCTTGCAACCATCTCTTCATCCTCGCAGAAGTGTGAGTACCCCATCCTAGCCTGCACGGGTTGCAGTGCTTCGTCGTCTGGCTGGGCCAACAGTGACTGACTGACTGGTATCAGTTTCGAATTCTCTTCGAAGATGAGAGCCAAGTGGAGAAAGAAGCGCGTCCGTCGCCTCAAGCGCAAGAGAAGAAAGATGAGAGCTAGATCGTGAGTGCTATCCAAGCAAACGAACAAACCAAATCGACAATCAACTAACCCATTCCCGCAGCAAATAAATTACTCGCCCACTCCATCTCAGCTCTTCATGTGAACGCTCAAGTTGAACGCTAAACATGACAATTGCGACGACGTCACGATGATGATTCCAGTTATGATCGTTACGTGGTTCGGTATCTCAATCGAGGCCTGTCTGGTCTGCCACAACATTCTCGGTGCAATCGACTTCGGAGCCCGCCGTTCAGCAGGTTGAAAAGCGATTTTCTCCACATCCAATCCCTCGGGCTCGTTATAACGTTTTCGATCTTCTCTTGATTTCCTTTTGATCCAGACAGTGGGGGTGCGAGTGCCGCATCTTTTCCTTCGGAGGTACGAATGTGTTTGGTGGGGTTGGAAGGCACGGTGGAAGAGTCAAATGGTCTTTCTGTATTCCTGTACTATCTTACTCTTTGCCATTGCCGATGAGCTTTTGCGTGGGGACTGGTCAATTTCTCGTGTCCTGGGTTCTGTTGGGGAAATCCGATGGAATTCCGGGCCATGGAGAGGTCATGAGAATTTATTCCAAATACCAAAAAGTTTACGACGCACATCTTATTCTCTGTAAATCTTCATAAATCACGTAGCATGATCTTGTAGATGAATCCATGATATCCAAAATGTCAATCGTACTACAATGAAGGGCCATAATGAACAGAGAGATTGTGCGTATGAAAGGCTGCCCGCCTGGACGCTTCTCCGCCTTCCGCTCACAGCCCGCCTGACCGCCTTCAACTTTTTTTCGTGGAATTTTCCCTCCACCTGCCCGATAATCTCCCTGCCAGTCTATTCTCTCTCCGCGGCGTCGCATTTCCCTTCAATTCCTTATCCAGACATAATGCCGTCCGATAAGGTTGAAAAGAAGCGCAAGCGCGCTTCCGATCGCCATGAGAGGCCCAGCAAGAAGCCCGCGCTTGAGCTGCAAGATCTGCCTCCGCTGGCCTCCAGCGTCGTCGAGGATGATAGCGAACTAGCTCCGGTGATCAGTATGCTGCACCTTTTCACACATTAACTTTCTTACCTTCACGGCATATTCATATGAAATGGGAAAGGTCTAATATAATCCACTGCAGTCACTACTCCCGGTCTCAACGCCCCGCGCAATCTCCGCCTCAACCCATACCTCAAGACCCGCAGCAAAACCTCCTCCTCGTCGTCACGGAACAAGGGCATCGTCTCATCGGAATTGCTGCTACAGTCCTCCGAGCACCCCAAGCTGGACTTCGTGGGTCGCGAGGCCGAGGAGGATGCCGACTCCCAACTGAAGCACTACGTCGCGGTCGTGGACCCGGAGAACAAAACCTGGCAGTTCATCGAAGTGCGGAAGATGACTCTGCGTGGCGCCGTTCGCAAGATGGGAGCCATTGAAGAAGAGGAAGAGGAGGAGAGTGACGAGGAAGAAATGGTACGCTCAATCCTCTCCTCTACGCTCTTCACTCGGACTATAAGCTGACCCTTCACCCTTCAAATAGAAAACTATGCGCGCTCAAAGAACAGAGCTCACCAACACCTTCGGTACCAAACAATCCCGCAAGGCCGCTCAATCGCTTGCCGAAAACGCCCAGCTCTCCAACGTGCCCTCAGGCGCCGCCTCCGCCGCTGAAACCGCCATTCTGGGCGCAATGCCCGCCGACGCAGCCACAGATATCGCCTCCAAGACCGCCGCCCTGCAAGCGCAGGTTCAAGCCGCGAAGCCTCTGCCCCAGGCTAACCTGGACGCCGCGCACCCGTCAGAAGTCTACCCACTTGATGTCCTCGTCCCCAACGGCCTGGCCACTCTGCGCCAACTTCCCAACATCAAAGAATGGCAAGACAGCGTTAACTCCGGCGCCGCCGTCAACACCACCTCGCGGTACGTCTCCCGCCGCGTCGAAGCCGTCGCCCTCTCCGGAAACACCACCCACCTCCAAATCCTCCGCTTCATCCTCCTCCTCCTGGAACTCGCCCGCGGTCTCCGTCCCGGCCGCGACAAGTCCGCCGGCCCAGGCAGCAAGCGTCTTCCTCCCCGCGAAGACCTCCGCCGCATCCTCTCCGGTGGAACAACCAGCGAGAACTCCGCCAGCGGCGAACAGCTCGCGGACCCCGTCATCGACGCCGTGCGCCGCAAGTTCGCGCCCCAGGGTGCTTCCCTCTCCAAGAACGACATCACCTTCCTCCACACTACCATCTGCGCCCTGTCGCTGCACATCCCACCCCAACCTTCCAAGGATGGCGGCAATAGCTCCGCCGGCGGAAACGCCCCCAACGAGCTGGCCACCGATCCCTCGGATCTCCGTGATGATCTGCGCCTGGATAACGTCGCTATCACGCAGTACTTCCGCGAGTTGGGCTGCCGCGTCGACAAGCCCCGCGAGTCGGAGTTTGCTAAATGGGGTATCAAGGGTGGTAAGGCTGAGGCTGCGGCTAGACGGGTTGCTAGGTTGAAGATTCCAGTTGAGTTCCCGAAGGTTAGTCGTGGTGGTGGACGGAGGTAGATGGATTCAATTGGGAATGGAATTCGTTGTGATTGATTGATTGTGTAAGTTAGCATTATTTCTCTGTATGTATGGATGGATACAAAAGAACGTCGTTTTCTCTCTTCCATTGTTTCACTTGGGCAGCTGGACCACTCTAAATTGGCTAAGCTTGCAGTAGTTCACTTGTAAATCAAGAGTCATTTCACCTCCGTAACTTCTAGTCGATATTACTAGTAGTTACCTATCTAATGCACATGTCAAGTCTCAGGAAGTCAATCGTATATATGCCAGTGTTGCTATACGATATAGATATAACTAATATGGCTAGTACTATCTAACTAGATAGAGACAACAACAATTCTTATATTCTCCCTTTACTACCATACTACATACAGCCTTTAATGAACTGCAACTTTCTTTCTTTCTTTCTTTCTGTCTTTCTTTCTCTATATATACCAACTACTATGACTACCGATTATGATTATACTATAATGCACCAGTCAAATTTACTTATACAGTACTAAATTAGAAGTAACTGCTACTAGACATCATCACTTCTACCTCGCCAAATACTAACTCAACCTGGCAAGTGATAAAAATCCCTACTATCACTGCTGAAAATATACTTTCTCAAGAAAAAAGGTAACTCAGATAATCCTAGTAACTCTGATTTAGACTTAGAATAGAATATTCACGTTAGTAGTAGTAGTAGTAGTAGTAGTAGTAGTAGTAGTAG